ATAGTGTCAGGGGATTAATTGCGCAATAATGACTCGCTTATTGCACGGCTACTTACTAAAGAACTCAATAATTTGACCTAAAATATGGATTTAAAAATGATTTTATTGCTCCAGCTAAAAAGAATAGTCCGCCTGCTGAAGATGGCGAAGATTGAGTATTGGACAAAGCCGAGTAATAGTGCTGGTTTAAGTTGTTTTGTGCTTAAACCTAACCTTCAGATCAGGAAGTGGTACAATCAAAAAGTGGAATGTACCAATTTGTGCAAGGCCCCGGCAAACAATGGCGTCAGTCAGCGCCAATGGACCATTAAACCTGATCTCATGGGAAGGCGGACAATTAGCGCAACATTTTAAGGACATTCTGCGTATGATGATAACGGATTTTAGTTCTTTCGCGTGTCATTTTACGCTACGTTGTTACTGTGAAACGATAGCAACAAGAACACTTGGCCGGCCGGCACAGGTTAATTATACCTGTTTGTAAATCAAGGACTTGATTTGTTGGTGGGTCAGCGGCTCGTCTCTGAGGAGCAGCAGCGGGAGACGCTGACATTAACTGGCTCTTTGTCATGGTAATGTGCTCCGGCAATGTCACAGCCAGACACTCAGAGGTGTGCACAGCAAGAGAGCAACGCGCTGCAAGATGACAACAGTCAGGGGGTCAACACATTTATACAGAACACACTCACACACACACAGGTTTGTATTCCTGTGCTTGTGAGGACCCTTGATATTGACAAATGCAGACACCAGTTGAACCGAGCACACAGGTACAGTATATTCACACACCTCACAGAGACAGACTGGGAGAGGTGTCTCTTGTTATAACGCACATCTTGTTATCCAGACTAATTAATACATCAGGGTGTCAGCTGGTGGAGCGGCTCCTCGCAGCAGAGACCAAGCGGTATTTCTTCTCAGCCGGTAGGATGACACAACGAAAGCTGATGGACATCAGCAGTATGTCTCCATGGAGCAATGCCTCCGCTAACACAGAGAGAGATTATTATTTATTATAAAACAGCAGACGAGTTTATGTTTAGTTTATTGAACAGTGAAAACATTTTAAAAAATGGTCTGCCACAGGTGTTTGCACCCACTGTGCCTGATCTCCTCAGTGCTGTGTGCAACGGCCGGCAACATCCGGGTGTAAAAAGTAAAGCCAATGATGAAGTGCCTTGATTTTGCGTTCTCTCTAGTGTCCACCAGGGGGCGACTCCTCTGGTTGTATAGAAGTCTATGAGAAAATGACTCTACTTCTCTCTTGATTTATTACCTCAGTAAACATTGTAAACATGAGTTTATGGTCTCAATCTCTAGTTTCAAGTCTTCTTCAATACAGCATGATGTTCATTTAGTACATTATGGTCCATTTAGAGTCAAACAGACTCTCAACACTGTCATCAATGCAGAGCAAACCCAATCAGATCAGTCGATCTGTGAAAACTTCAAGGAGTGATTGATACTTTTAAGGTTGTTTTTTTCTTTTTACATGAATTGTAGGGCTTGTTAAACCAACAGCTTATCATCGTGAGTCCGACCAGATGGAGGCCTGGCTGTGTGAGATTTGGTTGACAGAAACACTTTTCATGTGTTTTTGCCACTTTCCAGCGTGTGCATAAACCGATTATAATATAATAATAAATATAAATGTAGAAAAGAAACGAAAACTCAGACAACTAAATAAAAATGGAGGAAAATAAATGAAAAGGGCTGAGGACACAGCAGCAACAAGCATTACTAAGCTATATAAATCAAATGGTTAAAATAGCAAAGAAGCATGATATACGTTAGAACAACAGAATGAAGCGTCACCAAAGCAGATCACACTATGGAGTGCTGCATTTGAGTATTTTTGTATTATGTCAGTAGATTGATCTCATGAAGGCGTGTAAACAGCACAGCACTATTAAGGACATTGTGCTTCTCACAGTTTATGCATTTTAAGTTTTTCTCTTTTTAGACGCTGCGAATTTAAACAAAACTACTTGATTATCGTTTGTGTTAGAATAAGTTTATTTGTAGATTGTAAGTTAAGTTGTCAACTGAAATAAGTCAGGTGGACTTTTGGTCTCACCCTGGGTGAAAGTCGTGTGTTTGTTTTACTGATCAGTCCACTGCAGCCTCCGCTTTGCACTGACTTTGCCGCTTTGTTTACATCACCTGACTTGAGGAGTACTTGCTCTGAGCGTCTCATATAATCGTGGCGTGAAAATCACAAAAAAGCACAAATTGCAAAGTTGAAAACACGCAAACTTACTTCAGAAATCGGCACGCTATTCATCGGCCCTTTGGTGTTACCTGTCTGTGATTGAAGTGTAAGACTTTACCCGCTCAACACTAAAATGATTTAATATTATCTATAAAAGGACCTTTACTTTGAAACCCTTCTCAGTCTGTACATTTAAATAAAGGTGCACATTTGAACTTTGTTTTTATTTTGTTTACATTATTGGACAGTTATCAAGACAGGGGAAGAAGTTGTGTTCATTTTATTGTCTTTATCTATTTTTGTATTAAAAATCATCATTCTTACATGGCCATATTTTTGTAAACTTAACACACTTTAAAATGAAAATATATATATTTTTAAAGTCAGTGGGCCTGAAGCTTCTTAAGTGCCCTTCAGCGATACACAGACTCTCTGCCAGCTTGCTGCTCTGCAGCAGAACCTGCTCTTCGCTGCAGGTGATTAAATAGACAGAGAGTTTCTTTTCCTACAGGGATCGACATTATTATCCAGCTGGTGACTCACGCAGCAGATACAGTATAAAAAGCAACGTTTCACTCTGATTAAGTCAGGTGTAAATACTCGTATCGTTACGCACCGCGCTCGCATCTTTCCTCATAGCTTTCAAGTGCCTGGCACGTCTATTTCTGTGCGGGCCCGCTAGTGCACAGCGGGCGGTGGGAGCGTGCATGTGAGGCAGCTGCTGGCATCAGGATGGGAACTTAAAGCGCATGTATATATATATAGATATATATATGTCAGAAACCTGAGCTGATGACAACTTGGCCTCAACCGGTTATTTTAGTCCGTGGACACTCAGACGACTCGCTCGGCTTTATCTGGCTGCGACACAGATACAAATGTTTTATTATTCACTCATCGTGCTGAACATTTTATTAATTACGCTTTAGTTTACCAGATAAATCAGTAACACCATGAGTGGGTTGTCTTTACGTTGTTTTTTTGGTGTATGAGGGTGATGCAACACGGTTCAGATGTATGTCAAGTTCAACACTAAATGCAACTAAAATGCTGCTTCATGTGTTTCTGCTCTTCAAACAGACTTAGATGTTTCTGCTCAATGTCTTTAGGCATACGTGCACAAGAATGACGGCAGCAACAACAGAGGATTAAAGCATGAATAAAAGAGAATTAGAACCACAGTTGAAAGTTACATCAAATTTCTTTATTTAAATGTCTCATTTAATTCTGTATAATGAAGACCAATAACTGCTAATTACTCATTTAATCACACAATGAATCTCATTGTCGTGAGTCATTCGATATATATATATATAATCCCCTCTGTGTTGATCATGGTGACCGTCACTAATGAGCTTTTTCAAGGGAGAAACTCGCATCGCAATTTACATATTGTGTAACAGGCCATGTGAGAGTAACACAAAATGAAACAGGTTCATGAGTTGGTGGCAGAGTAGTTTCTTTGTTCATTACTAAACTAAACAGACTCGTTTCAGATGAACATACAGAAGCAGTCAGTTAATAAGACGTAAACATCTGACACTGAATACTTATTTAGCATTTGGCACCAATTTGAGATCATTTGACAGGATGAAGCATCGCCAAGGCTGATAACACGTACATGGAGTGCTGCATTGTTTGTTATTTCACTCGATTTCCAACACAATGTCGTGAGAAGGCGTTGAAACAGAACGTCACTTTTGAGGACATGTCGCGTGTCATTTAACGTCCCGTTGTCATTCCCAACTCGTCACATGCCCACCCAGTCCCCTGCAAAATGACATTCCCATACAACAAAACTCAATTGGGAAATAAGTTTTGAGGAATTACAAAATGAGTGTGCGGAAGTCCTTGCATGGAGGTAGCCAGGGTGGGGGTGCGTTTTGTTTCAGTATTGAAGTCATTTTAAGCCAAAACACGATTTTTCTTTTACTAAACATAACCTAACAAAGTAGTTTGTAGTTTGAGTTCGAGGAAGTTTTTATGAAGGCTCTAAGTGACGAACCTTCAAACTGCAATTTGGACAAAGTGCAGGACACTTTTGCATAAATAACATAATGTATTATACAGATATATTTATGCATGTAATGAAAGAATCAAATCGATGGAATGGCCCTTTTATCTTAAGCAGTTTTATACTGGAAAATATTTTGGCTGGTAAAATGTGTCAGTTTTGAAGCCATTGGCAGATCAGACCGGAAAGTTTAACCCTGCAGACAGTTTATGAGTCATAATCCAGAATTTGACACTCACATATTCACACATACACACAGAGACTGAAATAGTCCCACTTACACATGCACAGACATGCAGACAGACACACACTCCAGATTGTATGTGACAGGAATTCACACTCACGCAACCACAAAGTGATCAAAGCATGCAATAGAGGAAAGCTGCGCATTTGAATGAAAACATCGCTATTTATACACAATGAACACACACACACACACACACTGGTCCCCCGTGTCGAGCAGGCTGACTCAAAGCGTTTATTTTTCAGCGTATTTGTGTGTGAGGACAGAAACCTCAGAGTCGCTAAAAACACTGGGCACCTGTTCCCTGGATCCCACTGGGAGACATTCCACTCACTGTCACTGTGTGTGTGTGTGTGTGTGTGTGTGTGTGTGTGTGTGTGTGTGTGTGTGCTTGCAAACCTGTGCCAGCAACAAGAAAGTTGACACTGGACTCCCGTCTCACGTGGACGCCGTGCGACATCACTTCCTTTACCACCCTTCCCTATTTAAAGGCCGGTGTGGAGCCAGAGGGGCTTCAGCAGGGGATTAAAGCCAAAGACCTCGCACTCTTCACACCGGGAGCTCACACACTGACTGACAGGGAGGCTCCGGATGTTTTTCTGCGAAGATCCACAACGGATATAAAGACTGAGAAGAACACATTTTTGTCCATAATCACCTGGAATGTGTATTTTGAGTCTTTGCGAGTGAGGAGTTTCTGAGATTTGAGTCGCTTTGCTCAGAAAAAAGCGACCTACATTAACGTAAACTACTAGAATTCTTTTACCAAAACACAACCAGAGCCTTTTGGGGAGATTCAAAGATTTTTAGGACTAGAAACAGGACTTTTCCCAGCTAAGAATACCAATTTCTTCTGGTATCCTGTCACCATGAGTAGCGGTGGGACCACCACAGTTTCACCACAGGAGCCTCAGGCGTTCAAACGGGCGGTACGGAAGATAAAATGCGCCGCCATGGTGGCCAACTTGGCCAAGAGCTGGCAGGGCTGGGCCACCAACCACTCCGACAAGCAGGACTCCATCCCGAGTGGCTGGATGCCTACATCTATTGAGGAGGGCGACATGAAAGAGAACAACCACAAGGTCAAACTTGCTGTCACTCCGCGCGTGATCGCGGCAGACGCTGCCGACACCGGTGGGAGTAAAATCCGGACCGGTTCTGTAAACAAGACTGTGCAGCCAAAACGCAGCGAGTGCAGCAGCAGCGATTTGGTCAACGCCATCCGAGGCAAGATGGAGTCGGGTCCCGTGGAGAGCAAGCCTTTCTTGGGCAACGAGTCGCCGACAAGGAGGCGCCAGATGAGGGCGCTACAGAGCGCAGGAGGAGGAGGAGGAGCAGGAGTCATCCAAGACAGGAAGCTTTTGCTCCAGGAGAAGAAGCTGGGGTCAAGGAGCAACAGCGTTGACACAGAGGACAGCGGGCTGGGAGAGGAGGCCGGACTCAGCGACAATCAAGAATCCAAAACTGAGCTGGATGACATCCAGACATCCAAACAGACCAACAGGCCCAAGGTAGAGTGGTTCATCACGAAGATTGGAAATGGAGGGAAAACAAGTTTAAACATGGGGATATCAAGTTACCAGCATAATATGAATTTAACCAGGCGGCCACCTCCGGTTCTGCCGAGTGAAGCCAAAGCGAAAGTGTCCAAAAACTTGCATTCTCACTACTGTCCAGCAGGGGTCCAAAAAGAAGTCTGATTGTATAGAAGTCGATGAGAAAATGACGATGCTTTTCAGTTGATTTATTACCTCAGTAAACCGGCAGTCCACAAACCAATGGGTGACGTCACGATGACTACATCCACTTCTTATATACAGTCTGTCAATTTAACGCAAATGTTAAGCTACACCAGTTAATACATCTATATTGATTAATAATGGCTCAATAACTGCCTTCAGAAGGTGTCCCTTGCCGTGATGTTTTATAACCCAACTACTCGGCTTCACAGAGAAGTTGGGTTTTTATCTCATTGTTTTGATTTCCCAGCAAATATACTGTCAATCCAACTGCCATCAACAGGAGATGGCAGTTTTCAGTAAACAAAACCTTCACTTCAAGGCCTCATTATGCTGTGACCAGACACTTAAGAGTTTCTCCAGCGTGCCTTCTCTGGCACTAAAATAAATGTTCCTCCTGAATCAAACACGCAGTGGACGACAAATACCTTGAATTAGAGCAGAAATGTCACACGGCGTGAATAAACAAGTTCAAGCAGAGGTCCCCCTTTGATGTCACCTGAATAAAATCCAACCCCACTCACGTACGCCAAACAACACAACAGTTGCATAACTCTGACACAAGAACATCTCCTATAAAAGGAGCCGGTGCGAGGGGGGGTCGCCGGAGATCGAGGCCAACTCATGAAAACACAAGCTGGACCGCCGCGTAATGGAATATATGCAAATAAATCTAATCATGTTCCGCAACGTGTTCTCAAGGCTGACCTTTGGGTGGAACCGCCAGGGAGGGTTAACACGAGGTGAAGGGCCATGGACGAGAGAGGAAGTTATATGGGAGGCAGACACTGGGACAGTTATTGAGATATAAGATATGAAGAGTGTAAGGACATTTTATTTACTTTATTGTTAAGATCTATATTTGGCTGAGCTGGTTAGGTCCATACAATGTAGATTGCTTGGCACCTAAAGATATGTTGGTCCCAAGCAAAGAAACAACAGCTCGAGTTTGGTCTCCAAATACTCTGCAGTTGGTGGAGTACGTCACAAAAATATCTGAGATTCAACCAAAACAGTAAAGGTGCATAAAAGGACACTCCGTTTGACTTCACAAAGCAACACCATTCACATTACACATAGACGCGAAGTCCCTCCTCTTTTGGTATATTTACTTTGGATCGAATACGTACAGTCGTCAACGGCGAGAGACAAATATTTTTTTCATCCCGTTTAAATTGTGGCATGAATTACACGTGATGTTTGTCAATTAAAAAAAAAAACGCTTAGCGAACCGAACTTCTGGTCTCGCACAATGTACGTCACCAACAGCAAGCAGCTAGCTAGCTAACATAGCTATGTTTCACGCACAAACGTGACGTTATCGTAGCGGACATGTTTTATCCAGCGACTCTGTTTTAGACGCCAGGAAGCTAAAGAACGAATATGTTTTGTTGTTGGTGAGAGAACATCCTGGTACGAAACACACAGGCAATCGTAGCTTCAGAGAGAGGCAGTACTTACGTGACTTTTAGCTGTGTCGTCTTTCTAATTACGTATTTTCAGTCTTATACATAACTTAACAGTTATATGGCAAAATTATCTTTTAAATTGACGAACATCATATGTGTAATTCATGGCAGAATTGAAACAGGATCTAAAACATTTTTTTCACTTTTGCCGCTAACTATCGTTAATATTTTTGCCACAATAAGGTCACATGGTGATCCACCAGAAGGGGCGGGACTTAGCCTCTATATAGTCCTTTGGTGTTAATATGAAAGTATTATCTTTAAATAAAAATATCTTTAAATATCTTTAAATAAAAAATAAAATGTAGAATACTTTTAATTTAACATTTAAAATTTTAATAACAATCAATTAATAATTAAACTTAAGCAAATTAAGTACTTAGTATTAGCAGCAAGGCTTACTTAAGTATCACTTGTCATTATGTAGAATAATGGAAGCAAAATAGAGAAAGAAGAAAACATGCAACCTCCGTGACACGTCTTCGCTTTTCATAGAGCAAATACCAAAGAGATACGGTGACACTGATCTGAAGGCCAGGCAAGTTGAGGGGAATACCGAGGGTTGAGGGAGAGAGGCGTCAACCATCATCATCGTACTAATTCTGTCTGTTTAAACTCCGTTAATCGGTTTCATAGACTGTATATTAGAAGTGGATGTAGCCATTGTGACGTCACCCATTGGTGTGTGGACTGCTGTTATGAATGCAAAGGAGTGATGTCGTATACGTCTCTAGTAGCGGCAGCGACCTGTCAATCACAGTAAGCCCCGCCCTAAAGCATCCCCTGCTTTATGGTCTGTTTGACTCTAAATGGACCATAATGTACTAAATGAACATCATGCTGTATTGAAGAAGACTTGAAACTAGAGATTGAGACCATAAACTCATGTCATTTTCTCATAGACTTCTATACAACCAGACTTCTTTTTGCAAACGGAGGACCCCTGCTGGTCAGTAGAGAGAATGCAAGTTTTAAGACACTTTCCGCATTTGCTTCACTCGGCAGAACCGGAGGTTGCCGTCTGATCAGTTCTCAGTGCTTTTCAACAACATAAATACGAGCAACACTTCACTGGCGACAATGTAGCCGGCCAAGCTTTTTTAATTTTTTTTAATTTACAATTTGTTAGTAATATCACTGATGTTTCACAAAACAAAAGTGAAAATCCAAAAGGTTACAGTTGTTGTCCAATTTTGAGATCATGAAAAGTCGCTTTAACTTGAGCTCTAAGACTGTAAAATATAATGCCGGTTAATATGAGCAGACATACAGTGTTTCCATTAGTGTATATGTATGAGGTGCTCAGCAAAGGACAAGATGGGGATCAATTACACCAACCAGAGGGGAGTGTATTTAAAGACTGACGGTCATCAATCAACAGTAATATACAGGCAAAGGGGTGAGCTCGGTGCAGAATTGTTTTGTAAGTCTGAAAGACAGGAAACAGCAGGCGTTATGGGAAATGTAGTGCAAATAAAGTTTGATAAAAGTTACATACATCAGTGTAAATTCAGCAGAATAATTATATCACAAAGTCAGATACCCTGACTCTTAGTTCCTCGTATGGGTCAAGCTTCAGAACTGCTGGATCCTACATTTCCCATAATGCAACTCAATAGTGTCTGTCATTACATATTCCTGCCCTGCTAATGGCTTCTTTTCAAGAATGCAGTTAAAGATTTGTGGTATCCACACCCAAGCCCAGATGAACTTACAATGACATCATCAGGATTGTTTTCCTGTTAAAGTTATAGTTCACCAAAAAACAATATGAATTGTATATTATAGGTTACAAAATGTCCGAAGAAACTTTCTGAAACTTTCTGTGCAGCATCAAATAGTGTTTTATATCCATTTGTGGGCTCTTTGAATTTAAAACACGGTTATTTTTAATAAAAATATTGCTAAACAAAGCATTTCTGCATAATCCTTCATTTTTCGGGTGCTTCACTCTCCTAAACTCCATTCAATAGAAAACTTTTTCTGGGACTAAAGAGAGCTTACGAAGATGAGTGCTACAGTGTATATTATTTTTAGCTGAAGTTATCGTTGATTTGTAAAATCATTGATGTCCCCTTTAATGAAGAATCTAATTTACAAAAGAGGTTTCGCTTTGCTAAGTGGTTCATTATGAAAATGCTCAGATGATCTCTAAACTCTGATGTTAACCTTCGCACCATCTTTTATTTCCAGATTAAGATTGTCAGCAGGAATGACGTCAAAAGACGCTGGCAGCAGTGGTCCGAGCAGCACATGGAGGGCCAGAAGCTCAACCCCTTCAGCGAGGACTTTGACCAGGAGTACGCCATGGCCCAGCGACTCCGCAAGGGCGATGAAGGCTACGGTCGACCCAAGGACGGCTCCAGGACGGCAGAGAGGGGCGACCGGGCCCAGAAACACGTCCACAGGGAGATGGAGGAGATGGTGTGGTTAATCAGAGACATGGGCTTTAAGGACAAAGAGGGGAGGACCATCATCTCCTTCGGCCGCCTCTTCGACCGCTACGTGAAGATCTCGGATAAGGTGGTGGGCATCGTGCTGCGCTGCCGCAAACACAAGATGCTGGACTTTGACGGGGAGATGCTGTGGAAAGGACAGGACGATGACGTCATCATTACATTGAGGGACTGAGGACGGACATGATGTTTCACAAACGGGCAAACACGCCCATCAGCTTGTAGTAATAATGCTATGCATGCTAACCACAATGCTACATCGTGTACACAAGAAAAATGGAGGAATTTTTGGAGACAGAAATATAATAATGTATGAATGTATGAATTCAACAAGAATACACACATCGGAAGGAAAATATAGTTTTAGTAATCAGTCAAATAAAAGGAAACAAAGACAAAATGTCAATGAAAATGAAAACCTCATAAACGGAGAAATAAGACAACCTAGTCAGTTTTTGTTGGCTGCCTTGATCAGGAAACATGTGATTCAACAAGCCCTTCAGATTTGGCTCCCCTTCTTATGTCACATATAGGGTCATGAGAATATACCAGCCACAGCTTGAGAACTACATTTGCAAAGGTGCACCCAAGCGGCAACGTCCGGTTGTGAAAACTGAAGCCATTGCTGAAGTGTCTTAAACGTGCATTCTTTCTACTGTCCACCAGGGGGCGACTCCTCTGGTTGTATAGAAGTCTATGAGAAAATGACTCTACTTCTCTCTTGATTTATTACCTCAGTAAACATTGTAAACATGAGTTTATGGTCTCAATCTCTAGTTTCAAGTCTTCTTCAATACAGCATGATGTTCATTTAGTAAATTATGGTCCATTTAGAGTCAAACAGACCATAAAGCAGGGGATGCTTTAGGGCGGGGCTACACAGTGATTGACAGGTCTCTGCGGTTACCAGAGCCTTATATGGCGTCACCTCCACACTCCAAATATGGTAACTTCCGCTCGCAGGTTGCAAAAAGCCAAAATGGCAAACGTCCACTTCTTATTTACAGTCTATGGGTGAACCATATTTTTCTTGCAAGCCAATCAGAGCAGACTGGGCTTTTCGGGAGGTGGGCTTAAAGAGGCGGGCACTAAAATTGAGCATTTCAGTTAGAAAATGAATACAAATATATTCAGACAACACAGTATGAGAAAAAGTGTTTTTAACGTTAAAGCATGAAAACATGTTCTAATAGAAACTCAAAATAAGAGCACACACACACACAATCTCTCATCCCAGACTCATTAGTTCTTCTCATATATCTGACATGTCATCTGGTGAAGGGAAGCTATCTGTAGCATGCTAACTATGCTCGCCTTGCTAACTATGCTACTACATGCTGGAAGCCTCAAGCATCCAGCACAATGCCAGTCATGGTGGACAGCTTTACTCAGACTGAGGCTGAAGAAACTTGGATTTCATCGAGTAATTTTCTGAAAGACTTGACTGTTTTGTCCTCCCAGGATAATTTAGTTGAACATAAGTAAACAAGGGTAGCATAAAGTTAGCCTTTTCACAGAATACGCGGGACTTCTTGGCCTGTCAAATAGACTTATTGGTAACAGGACAAAAAGTCAAGATAAGAATTAGACAGTGAAGTTTGTTTTTGTCCTATTTTGGCCGACTGTGCAAGCAAAGCTTAAAGTTAATGAAAATTGTGATGAACTTCACATTATGGCAGAAACAACAGAGGGTTAAAAATGGTACGACAAATAGACAAATAGTGATAGCAATCCTAACCGTTAAAGCTCGAGTAGTCAACATTGGAGAAACCTACTAAAGTGAGCTTGAGTTAAAAGATGATCCGACCTGGAAACTCTTGTTGCCAACTCGTTCCCAATGAAAGTAGCTCGCAGCACTAGCTCCAAACGTCGCTAAATCTAGCCGTTCTTTTAGGCCTCCCTCCAATGTGACTCCCCCCACAAATTATCCCTAAGAACGTAAACAACCAACATTGCTATCGTCACAACTTGTGAGAGGCTGGTAGGCCTTTTCTCCACACCGTTTGATTTATTGATTGCTGTTGGGAGGTAACGAAAAAAAAATGCTTCTAAAATACATTACCCAGCCAAGCTTTTGTTTACGTCTGAAATAGTCTTGAGTTAATGTGTAACGTGTGATAGTTTTGACACAAATGATTGTATAGTGAAATGTGTTTTAAATCATTTTAACATTTAGGACACTTACTGTTGGAATTGTGTTAAAGGAAACTTAGAAATGTTTAACATTTTGAACATTTTCTTTCTTTCAAAGTGAAAGCTTGAGTCTTCTTACCGAAGTACAATTTTGCTACAAAGACTGTGTAGCGTGGTGTATCAAGCACAGTTTGAGATTAATGTAAATATACACGTGTCATTAGAACACCTACTTAGTATTGAGACTGTGAAATTGTTTCATGTTTGCTGTGGGTCAGAGTGTTAACATAGGCTACATGGAAGTCACTAAAGACTGAGATTTAAATGTTGATATCCTGTTTTCCTTTTTTAAAACACTTAATTCTCCTACGGCCCAGATGCCAGGACAAGCAGCCCGACCAGAAAGCTCAACACATAATATTCAAGGCCCAAGGTTAATTTATTGGGATTGTACAACACATAGTTGCTAAATGAGATGCAGTTGTCTTTTTAGGCTACACAAGAAAAACAAAACTAGTTCCTGTCGTGCATTTTCGAATTTGATAAACATTTACAACCATACCACTGCACCCATAACAGAATACTGTACATACAACTCATGTGTCTCCACACATATATTTCACATATTTGCTTCAAAGAGAATTTATATGTTCTACTTAATATAGTAACTTCCATTTATTGGCTGCAAAAAAACAACAACGTGGCGATGGCCGTAATCCAAGATGGCGACGCCAAAAAAGCCTTCAAAATGGCAGTCCAAAAACCAATGGGTGACGTCACGATGACTGCTGTTTGTTTTTTATTGTTTGATAACTCGATATCCATTAGCTGACGCCTTGCCGGCCGCTAAGCTTCCTGGGGTCCACAGAAAGGACAAAACATAATACATGCAAAACATGACGTAAAACAAACTACATCCATTTCTTCTATACAGTCTATGGATACAAGTGCTCCATTACTGCCCCCTACTGGCCTGGAAAGGATTCGATGCCGATCCATTTAAAAAAAACAGGACAAACTGAATAGAAAAGCTCATTTTACTTCAAAATTAGATAGGTCATATTTACTTTATTGTCCACCTCAGTGGAAATGTGTCTCTTGCTTCTCCAAAGTACAGCAAGGTAAACAATACACATAACACAAGGCACGATTAAAAACACACAAATACACAGTGAACAATATACAACAGTGAAAATAGGCTGGTAGCTGCAAACGTATTATATAAATGATAAAAGAGAGCACAACTTATAAAACAACAAGTGTTCCCTGATGCCGTCATTTTGTTTTTAATGCCAGTGTGGTACAGGGAATGAAAATAATCGTGTTTATGTTATACGGCCAGACAGGAAATAAATACACAAACATACAAATATTAATTTTACGGAGACCTGCTACTTCAAACGTGATCTCACAAAAATACGTTAAATAAACACAACCTCCACAATGGTGACGGCACATCATGTGTTCAGATTACATTCTGCCGACACAGAAACAGAAGTTCGGTTTAGGCAACAAAACTACTTTTCTAAGTTTAGGCAACAAAAGTACTTAGTTAGGTTTAGAAAAGAGAGGATCATGGTTTGTGTGAAAATAATTACTTTTGTTGCGTTGCCTACGTAATATAGAATAATTTTGACACGTTTCGTACCACCGCCACGTGATGCGCTGCTGTCAGATTTGGTTCATTTCATGTATTTCTGTGTGCATCACTAGTGGAGAAAGATTGGATTTTGGTTTCTATTGTTTTGTATACATATATAAAATGTATTTACTTTTTATTTTTACCTTCCAATAATATAGTTTAGATGTAGTTAAATCCCCTACAAATTGATGAAATATAACAATAGGAACCAGGAAAAAGAGGAGGAAAGGAGGACAGAAAGTGGATAAGAAGAGGTAGCGGGGTAATTCAGTGATAGTTGCCCAAAGAAGCATTGAGTGGCAGAAGAGATATCTGGAGTTTGTACCTTTGGACTGAATCAAAGTCCAGCCCATGTCACTCAGTTTCCTCCTTTCTATCTGACACAACCTAAAGAATCTCACACACGATCCAGTAATGCAGCAGGGGGCGCTACAGCGACAGCCTGCCGTGTCGAAGCACAACTCTCTGCTGTGTCTGTGTTTTACTGAGGTGGAACACGCCGTTGTTTAGAATTGTAATTACCCCCCCCCCGTGGGGAAAAATGATGTACGTATGTCTCAATTTGCAAATGTGCACCATCTGAGGGTCTCCCGCTGGTTCATCCAATTTTTAGCGTGTGAATTTGTCTCTCCTTCTTCATGTATGCAAGCCACATCGGCACTATGTGTGTGTGATGTGGTTTCTTCTCAGTCCGTCAGTCTGCGCATGTGCATGCAAGTCATGGCTGTCTGTGTGCGTATGTGCGTGTGTGTGTGTGTGTGTGTGTGTGTGTGTGTGTGCCTAGTGTGACCTGCCGTGCTGTCACGCAATTGCTTTGTGTGTGTGCGAGAGAGACAGAGAGAGAGAGAGAGAGACAGAGAGAGAGAGAGAGAGAGAGAGAGAGAGAGAGAGAGACCTTAATATAAGCTGATCAGTTTGGACGTCTGCCAGAGAGAGAGAGAAAGAGAGGGAGGGAGACATAGGGAGGGAGACATAGTGAGTGAAGTGGGGAGAAAGATTGAGATAGAGGAAGAGGTGGAAATGAACGGAGAGAAGGGAGAGTATTGCATCTAGACAGACAGGATAAAGCTTCATACTTGGTCGTCCTTAGCTGCTGTCAAACTAAATGAATCTCTCCTCTCTTCTGCTTCTCTCTCCTGCTCCCCATCTCATTCTCCTCCATCTTTCTGATTATTGTGTTTTTCCTTCTCCTCCCTTGTGTGTGTGTGTGTGTATGTGTTCTTCCCCTCTCATCTGTTCCTTCACGAGGTTTGCAGGTTATTGAGGTTCAGAAGTTTACCTGTTCCTTTATGAGAGCTGATACTGTATACTTGCTTTTAAATACATGTTTAAAAACACAAATAGCACTCCACAATGGTGTGAAATTTGGAAAAAAAATACAAACAGAGCTCGTTACTGCTGCTTTTTCTGCCATGCATTAAGTTGAATTGTTACGGCTTTGAACCATCTGCATGGATACGAAGTTATCTTACTCACAGGAAATATTCAGTATACTTCCTTCAACCTGATCTCATGGGAAGGCGTATGAATGCAGGACATTTTAATAACATTCTGCATGTCATGATTACGCATTTTAGGCTTTTGGTGTCAAACCGTGTTGTTACTGTGAAACGACTGCAGTCAGGTTTAGACAAGAAAAATAAATGAGTTAAATCTGGAGGAAAAACATCATGGTTGGGCTTAAAATAAGTACGTAAAGTAAGTAAAACATAAACAACGTAATACATATTTCACTGGCTGTAAATAGCCAGTAGCCATAGCTTTGTCTTATGCGGAGGTCATTATGAAAGTTTCTACCTGTATGTAACTCAAGTTGAAATAAGTTCCATGATGATCCCAATATCAGGCATTGGTCACAGCAGTCAGTGGCAATATTTGTGTTTGATCTGGAGAGTCTATAAGTTGTCTAATGTGGCCTAAAGCCTATTTTGGTTGTTTTTTGTTGTTATTACAGCGATGTGAATGTCCCGGCCTGCTTCCTAGATATCTTCTGCTCCGATAGCTTCTGTCATTTACTGGGTTTTCTCACAGAAGGCGTCTTTCATCACGCTTTCCAAAAAGCTGTTTGTTTTTTTCTGTTCTAAGATAAATGAGTTTCTGCTGCTATACTGGATAGTATATGAACCCACTAGCATCTCATCCCAAGATAAAGCCACAGTTATTTTGCCACATAGGCGCTGTAGTCTCTCTGGAATGTGTTCCAATACAAGTAGTTCTGCTCTCTAATGTAACTCAGGATGCAGCTTCAACACAGCTGAAGCGTTATAACTATAACGTTGATATATACGTACCTATGAATGTTAATATGAAACATATTTTTGGTTCGGAAACATCAACATATCCTCGGTTTTAGAAACGTACAATGCCAACCTTTTACTCAGCCGACTTAAATTACACAGAAAAACACACAAATACAAAAAACAATCAGAGCATCCAATGATGGAGATAAACTATTTTATTGACAGCTGGAATAGAATAACAATACACCAAATTGTGCATTTACTCAACAATATAACAGTTTGCCAAAGAATCTGCAAATATACTTGTGTTTTAAAATGACAGTGCGGTGAATAGAACTAAAGTTAACACCACTTTGTCTCTCTTCTGATAACATTCAGGTCCTCAAGGCAGTAACACGAGCGACGAATGGAAAGCAACGCAGATGGGCATTGGCTGCTTAATGCCCTGCTAACATTAGCTTATGCTAATATTCGCTGATCTACAGATCTTCCTTTTATTCCTTAAAAAAATATATACAATATACTTATAAATGGAAGTTTGAAATCCTTAAACGGTGAGGTGATCGATTCGGTGAGTTGTCAGTTCCTCCAATGAAGCTACTGAGGAGCTGACAGCAGAAGACTGAAGGGATGAATGTGTTTGACCAGAGGAGTGTGTCGCTGAGCAAATTAATATACAGTATGCTTCGATAACCTTCCCTGGATGGATTAATTTCACTGAGGAAAATTGATTTTCCATCAGCATTGCTTCCAAAAGTTGACCACCTTGCATGTTCCTGACAGCATGAGAATGCCTGGTAAACTGACTCATCTCGTATCCCAAAACCAAAACATCAACTTCTTATGAATAATATTTTAGAGGCCTTCGGATGGTTTAGAGACGAGGATTTAAGGCTGTGAATGCTGTAGAGAGATACAATGATCTTGTATCGGCAACCATTAATAAAAGGAGGATTTCTTTGAAGATTTGGGGTCGGAGCTTAAATTTGTTGACGCCAATGTATGAACAGCAATTTGAGAGGTAATTTAACTGGGAATGCATGGTTTAGAGCAGTGGTTCTCAAACCACGGTGGGGCGCGGTGGTATTACAGGTGGGGCGCAGGGGGAAATGCAGAATCTTTTTTTTTTTTTTCTTTTTTTTTTAAGTAATTAATAAATACATGGCAAAATGTATGGAAGCCTGTTTCCGCCACTGTGAGGAAAAATTACAGATCCTGTAAGTCATTATAATGAGATACTATCTCAAAATAATGACTTAGCATCTCATAATAATGACTTAGCATCTCATAATTATGACTTAGCATCTCATATCAGCCAATTGTAAGAAGCTATTTTTTGCCAAATTGTAGTTCTTTTTTGCACAGATTGAACTTTATTTGCATTGTTCTAACAAAGTGATTGCACATTTTATTTGTTTTTGTCTGATGGAGCAATCTGGTTTACTTAAAAGTGATTGCAATTTTCTTTATTCTATTATTTGAAAAAGCACAGACGGAGGAGTCACAAAATGTTATTTCAATAAAAATTCAACATAGACCATTTTGTTACAATTTTGTTGGGGTGGTGGGGCATGAACATTTTTCTTCCTCCAAAGTGGGGCGCGACAGAAAAAGTTTGAGAACCACTGGTTTAGAGAAACAAACTCACACTGGGGTCACCCAACCTAAAGATAAAGTGTGATGCTTTAGAGTGAGAGGATCTACCAGATGGCATGCGGAGGAACTCTTTTTATGAGGTTCGGGTTGAGGGAGGCCTCTAAGGGAAAAGTTTGGGAAGCAGACTGGAGGAGATGTATTGCTTTTGGGATCCACCAGCCAACGTTTCGTAACAGATCTACCCTTTCATCCTCACCAGGCCTCCACCTCTTCCCCCCAGAGAGAACATGATATGATATGAGTCTAGAACTGTACATACGGAAAAGACAAGGACACAAATAGTGCTCTCTGTCTTTTTTAATCAGTAAAACCCAAGTACTTATGAGTAAAAAGATATGGACAATTTAAGCTTGGGTAACAGCTTTTATTTGAAGAACTCCAAAGGGAATTCTACCCTGATTCACTTCTTAGGTTGATCTTCTGCAAAAACAAACTCTACTTTGCCCGCACACTCTTTGTGCCAATAATCAGGGTTTCAATATTAGGTTTCATTTAGGTCCCATTTTGCATCTAGGTTAGCTCAGAGTGCACCAACAACCACACACGCATGCGCACAAAAATGTGGTTAGTATTACCAGTAAGAACAATAAGGTAATTTAATAAACTACAAGTAAATTAATGGAGCTGCAACGGGATGCAAATCACTGTGAAACTAATCTCAAAAAGTCTTCCTGGCACCGGCCGCCGAGAGTCAAAATGTCTAAAAGTCGCCCAATGTTGAGAAAGTTCAGCTGAGCTTGCACGGACAGCGTTTAAGGTGGAATTCACCACCTCTTTTAATGCAAATGTGGTAAAAGCAGCAAACTAGAGACAACCAATTGCGCTTATTTTGATACCATTGAGAACTAGAAACAATGTTGTTTTCTAATAAATTCAATCTACATGTAAGTTGGATTGGCCTTTTCACCTGGTAGCTCATTGAATAACTTCTGCAAGCCACCGGGCCTCGAATAGCAAAAGCAATGCATTGCTCTGGAAAAAAACTAGTCAATTGTGCACTGGTGTAATGGCAGCTGGAGAAAATAATTACCCAATCAGTATATCAACTACCGGCTCAACCCTCAACCTGTTTGCAGGCTTTAGGTTTATGGACTCTTTGTGTTATCATAATTAGAAAAGTCTCAAAAAGCTATATTAGTTATGTTCATGCCTCTCATGTGTGAACGGAGCCAACAGGGAGTTTTGCTCGGCTTTACAAGCCCAAACTTGTGAAAACCCAAACGAGTCTTTTCTCAGTGACGGAGCCATTTTTATTGGGAAAATGGGGACACCATCTTGGAACACAGTATCTCCTAACACCTACGTTAAGCCTACCAGTTATTGTAGCCTGAAAGGAAATGAGTAGGACGCTTAAGCATTTGTTTGTATATCTACAATATAACTGTTTTTGATTGCCTCAACATATCTTCTGTTACAGACAGATAAGGGCCAAAATCTGCAGTTCCTAAAATGGCCACTTGAGGCTGGCACCAAAAGCGAGTCCCCATAGACTCCCATCTTAAAACGCCAAACTAACAGCGGAGATAAAAGTGTTTCCAGCCTGGAACAAAATCGTGTTTTGGTCTCTGTCGCTAATATCCCTGTTCATGCACATGTACTGTAACGTCACGGAGACTTCGTCCATATTTTGAACAGTCTGGGTTTGTTGCCTAAACCCGATAAGCAAGTGTTTTTGCTATGACCGTAGTGGAGCGTAATCGTTTGAAGAACTGGGCTACCAGGTGCGTTAAAAAAGTGATGCCAAGGGGTCGTGACCGAGCGTCAGTATGTGAGGAGTTAGGATGAGAACGTGTTGACTGCGCGCATGTAAATATAGCCAGAATCAAACAAGACCGCTGTAATGTTAACGCCACTCAAGGTTATACATGTTGATCAAGAAAAAGGTTATCCATCATTTAAATGCATTGTCAGAGATGGCTGAGGGACAATTCTCACATCTAAAAGTTATTAGCTAAACTCACGATCTGCTTAATATTCTGTATGTAACTCAACTGTCACTAGAGTTTTCTTCGGTGCTGTAAAATTGAGCAGCACAAATAGCAAAAGTCTGGTTTTGCATAATGTGAACCTAAAGTGGCAGAGGACCTGATCGGGACTCTAGTACAGTTCTTGCAGATGATGCAGATGGCTAGAGTGCAAATGTTCTTTTGTTTTTAGTTATTATCATTTAGTTATAGTTCATTCGAACGTCAATAAAGAAACAACAGTGTCATTTTTGTAAGTTTAGAAAATAAGTATTGTTTAAGAAATAGGTCCGACTGTTTGAGTACCTTCTCTGCAAAAAAGTTGGGTTTTTTTTTGCCCAGTTTGTTGAATTAAGCCGACAGCAAGGAGTGGGCAGAATACACAAATAGTCAGTTGAAATATCAGAAATTCATCAAGAACATACGCAAAGATGATCATTTCCATACAGCGGACGACGCGTAAATTACTTGAAGTGATGGGTTGAAATGGTGACACTGTAAAACGTTTTTTGCGTCGTTTTGATAACTTTATGTGACAATTCTTAGTCCATAGCCCTGACAAAATGTATATCGGTGTGTTTAAGGCCTCTATTTACATCACAATTGATAGTTGTACATAATTAACATCCGTGTGGCGGACACAATCAGAACATGGGTCAATGCAAAAACGTACATTTTTCCTTGGTGCTGAATATGTCGACGACAACATCTATTAGCTCATTCATTTGCCTTCAAAGTTACAAAACGCCACAAACAGACTCAGACGGGTGAACAAGACGCTTTTGATGAGCAAAATTACACAATCAATTTTTAATAAATAAACATTAATTACTCTTAAGCCTGCTGGGAATGTGGGCATATATTTCGTCTCGCTCCCAAACAATTAGACTGTTTTCTTGCAGCTGTAGCCATCATAGGAACAACAACAACACATCGTTCACTGCTGCCACGCCGCTCCACCCTCGAGAGGAACGCTGTTAATGTTGTTTATTAATGCATTGTAAAGTATCTGCTGACTGATGTTCTACAGGTTGGATGTAGATCGATGGGGAACTTCTATGACGGTTACCACTGCTGAAATCATTATCATGCAATAATAGTTTTATTCCAGCCACAGAGTTCTTCCTCTGAACAGAATGTTACAGGCTGCTGATAGAAAATTGGAGTGTAAACTTTCCTCTTTCATTGGTCCTTAATTGGGAAATCAGCCCTCAATATATGTTTAAAGTTTGGCACAAAAGAACACGGACAGAAACACATTCCTTGGGTCACAGTCAGAGGAGTCAATTGATTTTAAATATAACTATATATATTATATATATTTGATGTATACAACTTTTTCTAATATCTGACTCATTTTTAAAAACAGTCCCCTTTTATTCTAACTACCAGGCAGTCATTGATTATTAAAATCCATGATATTCAATGTCATTTTAGGTTGTGAAAAATGATCCCGCATTTTTCAAATCAGAAACTACAATGTTTACATGAGGTATTACATACAATTCAGCTCCTTCTGAGTTTGGAAGAGATTATTTAGAGACTACATGAAAATCCTCCTGGAATAAGTTATGGGGTGAAACAACCTGAATGTGCTGGGTTTGAATTACACATCGAGTGATCTGTGGCTCCTGCATTCAGATTATTTGAGCTACTTTCAAGGTGTTTTAAAGAGGGCATGTCACGAAAAGACTCACAAACGTGAAATAAGACAACCCAGTCAACTTTTTGTGGGCTGCCTAGATCAGAAAACATGTTATTGAACAAGCCATTAGGATTTTGCTCCCCATATTTTGGCCAATCAGAGCAGACTGGGCTATTTAAGGGAGGGGGCTCTTAAAGAGACAGACGGTAAAACAAAGCATTTCAGACAGAGGATGATAAAGGTAAATTCAGACAGACAGTATGAGAAAAATAACTTGTTTTGTGAACATTAAAACACGTAAACATGTTCTTGTAGAAACCCAAAATAAAAGTTTGAACCTAAAAACCAGCATGACATGTCCCCTTTAAATCATAAAAATCCTGTGTATTGTCTTTGACAAGCACAACTTTATGACAGTAAACATGTATCGGAATCACATGTTTTACATACAAAACACATGCCAAAAGATGACTTAAATCGTCAAAGATAATAGAATCTGACTGCAGTGAAAGTCACTGGCTAAGCGTGTCATCGTCCACAGTGTACACTGTGCAACTGAAAAAACTGCAACGCCTGGATGTTTCTTTTATTGCTTTACAGAATGTAGCTGATTTGTTTGGAAATAAATACAGTATTAATATCCCTGCAACACTGCTACTGGCTAAAACAGAGGCCACTTTTGCAAAAGTTTTTTTTTTAAAGAGTAAAATCACTCTAATTTGTATAGTTTAATTAAAATATTAGTTGATTAGTATAGGAGAAATTTTGTTCTGAAATCTTGCTTCAAAGTTAATAAGAAAAACAAAACCGTTGTATTTGTTATTGTCTGTGAAAGGAAGCAGTGAACTTTGAATCAGAATCGCATTGCTACATATGTATGTATTCCTCAATTAATGTCGGGTCTCAACCCAACGTATTTCATTTCTCCGCTCTCTCTGCAGCGTATAGCTCATGCTTAGTTTTATCAAGCAGGATGCTAAGTTTTAATCAGTCATGCGGATGCTACCAGCTAATGCTACAATCTTAAGGTAACTAGCGGGGATATCCCCTCCCTCCCTCACAGATTTAACATTAATCAACTAAGTTATTATAGATTCACTTTGGCTCACACCAAAAGACACGAACAACCATAATATTTACACAGAAAAAAAGAAATTAAGAATCATAAAGTGCCCAAATGAAATACATGTACTTTTGTTATTCAATAAACTATAAATGTCTCTACAGTGTGCACATGGTGTTCCCTTTAAATTCATCCTATTTTTGTGTCCGTTCTTCTTTTTTTTAATCTGTAAAACCTGACGTTGGTTCCAGACAGATCTTTTGTTTGGATGATGCAAAGTACATTTCATGCTTCCTTCCTCTCTCTTTTCCTTTTCCTCCCTCTCTTCCTCTCTCCACACTGAGTCGTAGCACGGCTAATCACCAGGTGCCCTGGCGGTCTGTGGATCAGGGCTGTAATTTAGAATGGAAGGGACGCTCCTCTGCACAGCTCTAAATGCTGCCGGCAGATGTTGTGAGCGGCTGTTTCTGTTCCTCCCTCACAATAGCTCTATGCCGCAAGGTACAGTAAGTGAGGATGAGGAAGAAGACACTTGCTGGTAGAAATTGGCACAGTACAAACTGTTATTAGACAATCTTTTTTTTAAAAAGAGAGGAGGAATCTTAAAAATCTACTTGTAGACTATTAGCTAAAGAGCATACCGAACTCCAATCAAACTGGGATGAACAGCGGGTTTTCAGCCCTAAACTGTCAGCCAGGCTACTATCCTCAATGCTTTTGGAAACGTCTGTCTCAGTGCTACAACACAGGTACAACATCTGCCCCCTGCTGCACCAACAGGTGGGTGTGAAAATTTAGAACAATATAGAACGGAATTGAACCGAATGAGGACAAAACACCCTCAACATTTCAGACCCCATTCACACCTGGCTGTTTAATGCCAGTTGTATCCTGATTTAACATCACTGCTTTTGATAGTAGCATGCATCCAAGGTTAGCCGCTTAGAATTATAATTGGGATCTACTACGATATATATCGCATGCATAAAATTCAATTAAGTTTGGCTGGGAAACCCGATATCTGTGTCTTCAATGCGTCATTAAGTTATGCACCACGGCCGGTTTTGATCGACACACAAAAGAATACTTTTATCACATGTGGCTAAAAGGTAATTAGCTCCTGAAGTCATATAATCAGATTTCAAACTGTAGTTGATGGTTCTTCTGTGACTTTACAGCTGCTCGCTTAAGCCGGAAATCTCTATTTAGACGCAATTTGCTACGTATTCAAAAAACAACCAGGTAAAATGGGGTCTTACGTGGATCGTTTTTTTCCAAAAACCCACAAGACTACATGTTTTCCGTCCAACCACACACGACTTTCATTTAATAAAGTGCCTTCCACGAGAGATGACAAAAATAAATCAGTGAAATCTGCTAAAGTCGCGATTGATTGTAATGAAATTATACAGGCTCTTGGGTTGTTGGGAACTCAGAACCTGCTAGTTCTTCTTTTAAACCACTCAGGGACCAATTAACACCTGGCGCTGCAGCTAAATGTAATTAACTGCAGTCCGTAGAAACCCAGCAGTACTCCAGATCCCCGAGATCAAGTAGAGATCTAGATCCTTCCAGAGGATTTAAGGGGCTTTCATTCATGCCTCCACACGCATACACATAGTACCAAATGGACTGAACATTGAAGGGCCAAATGTGTGACACAAAAGAACAAAAAACAGCTCCAGTCAGTGTTTCGAAACCAAGATGTCTTGGTTGGTTACAACAAATAAACTATATATAGCTATAAAGCTATATATATATATATATATATATATATATATATATAATTACTTTTGAAAAGTCTTCTGTAGTCCTGCTGATCCATTCATGCTCCTGCAAAATGGAAGGCCGATGTCTCAAACCGTCTCTGGACAGAAAGACAGATAACACGTCCAAGCCCCCCTTATAGAGGACACAGAAAGACAACAAGCAGTCCTGGGAATGAGAATCGGATCGTAGCTCGTGAAGGCGCGTAGCTGAAGCGATGCCGAGCGCCGCAGTGTGTCGTGGTCCCAATAGGACGCGATCGATGTCGGCAACCGAGCCCTCCTTTGAAGTATCCTCATTAAGTAGGTTTTTGTTTCCTCATGAAAGAGATCTGAGGAGAGCAACATGTTCCTGTGAGTCTGAGGGGCGGTCAGTTTGCAACAACAAAAGAAAATGTGCTTCCCGTGAGTCTCGGGGAAAACAGTCTGATACAATATCAAAAGAATAACGGTATATTTCCAGTGAGTGCCAAAGTGACCTACTAGGTAGTAAAGTCATTTCCCAATCAGGGGAGTGATTCTCTCCCAAGTGTGGTCGGACCGGTCAAAGTGCCCTTGAGTGAGATACTTAACACCTACGCACCTATAGGCTGCAGGCTATATCAAAAAATGTCTGTTGGGATTTGGTTGAGACAGCAGTGGAATCTTTGTCGCAACAACAAAAACTTGACATTTTTTCCTCGAGTCTTAGGATCGCTCACAGCAGGGCCCAATGGTGCTCTCCAGGGACATCTGGGAGGAGTGGCGGATGAGTGGCGCCATCGTCGGGTCCACCATGGAGGAGGTAGGGAAGAGCTTGTACCAGCCAATCACCATCGTGCTGAGGTCCAGCTCCTCCAATAGGATTCGAGCTACGCCCATGAAACATTTGCGGTCCATCCGTCCGTAGTTGCCCCAAACGATCACCTGTGGAAGAGACATAGATATGAATTAGCAATAGAAATGATGTATTCATACCATTTTACCAAGACCTTACATTTTAGCAACAGCATTTGTGTTTAGACTGGATAAAATATGTACGTAAAGCTCAAAGTGCGTGGTTTCGGACGTCGCCGCCTTGCAGTGATGACGCAGCCTAACTCTAAAAGTAAACAGCAGAAGAACAAACCTGAGACCACCTTGAACTTTAGGCCTTGATGTATCATAAATAGGTGGAATATATTAAAGAAATGTACGTTCTGTACAGTTTCTTATGAAAAAGAAAATGTGTTATAGAGAACAAAACGTTTTCTGTAGCAGACTGTCAACATGTTTATGTAACTGGGGGTGTACAGGGATTGACTCGCTTTTGGAGCCATTTGAGGAACTGCAGTGTTTTGGCACTCCCGTGTTGGCTTCATTTTTCGCTTGGTTTCATGTCGAAGTAGAGTTATTTTAAATAATGATGAAAGCGTAATAGGTGCACTTTCTTTCATGTTTAATTCAAAAACGAGAACAGATGGCAAAATCATCTGCTCAGTGTGCAACAAAAATAATCATTGATATGAATGACGTATTTAATATTCTACTTACAACACCTAACAAACATGCTGTGGTTTATCAAGAAACTGGATGATACCTGGACGTTGACACTATACCGAGATATACTGTATGTATACGCTAAGGGGGCGAATTCACAAAGAATGGATTGCAGCTGCTGACATCACCATGAATTGCGCATCATTTACCAACGACATCCGCCCCGTCTCAAGGTCTGATTCACAAAAAAATATTGCGCTAATAATATAACAGCGCAAACACGGCCATGTATTTTTGCAGTTGAGTGCAATTTGCCCGCTTTTTGTGTCGGATTGCAGTTATCCATGTGGCAAACACAGTAGGCAGACCAACGGCAGAGAGAAAGACTCACAACTTAACTCAAGGAATTCAAAGTAAACGTGACAGAAGACGCTTCCTTACCAAACGATCTTGTACTTTACAGTCTATAATACTCAGAAAGTGTTGTCATAGATATCATATTATCTTAAATAGAAGGTAATCATCAGCGACGTTTTGTCTCCAGGTAGAAACGTACTTCATGTTCCCCTCAGTGTTTCAGAAGAGAAATCAATTTATTTCAAGGGATTAAGGGCCGAAACATGGCTTCAGAGGCCCTTGATTCGTGCTTATAAAGCATCCTGGGGGTGAAGGAGGTCGAGAAAGATTAATTGACAAAGCGATAAGGTTAAGAGGGCGGGGGTTAATCAGCATTAATCCTGAGGTTTGGAAATCTGTTCCGAGACAATACTGGCTCTTGACGGTTTCTCTCTGTGTTACAGCAGCAGGCTGAGGTTTCAATTACAGTAAATGAAGAGGGACAGTGTGTGTGAGGGAGTGAGACGGAGATGATGGGGGCATGTGCTTAGAAACCTGTGTGTGTGTGTTTGGACGTTAGGTGTCCTCCGTCTCCTGACGACCCGATAACATCATCTCAGATGGCCCCACATCTTGTCAAGCAGCGGACAAAATAATCAATACCCGTCGGTGCGTGCGTCCAGTCGTGCGGCCGCCTCGTGTGTCTGAGCGAGCCCGCATACCAATCGGTTTGGATGTGTGTGAGCGTGATTTCCACAGAGACTCAGAGGCCAAATCTGCTCCAATCTATTCCCTCCATCTTTAAAGAAGGATAATCTATATCTCTTTCTGTCTGCCCGCGATCAGCTCTCCAAACAAGGTCCTGACCTCAACCATTTCAAGTTAGGAGAGAGAGACATCGGGAGAAGAATAAAATCTATGGCAGAACTACAGAAACTGGCTGAGTCTTTAATGTGGACGATGAAAAACACAACGTCCTAGATCCTCTCCTGGTCCACTTTCTAGAAAGTGGGACTAACACACAAACACACACTGCAGGTGCTGATGGAAAGACAAAAAGGGATTGAACAAACAAAAAACAAACCAGCATGTTGCATTGAAGTGAGGATAAGTGGATACAGACGATGGATGTACTTGAATTGAAAGGAAGAATAAAAGCTCTGAAACACCAGAAAGTGGGACGGCTAACTCATTTGGAGATACTAATAAAATACACAATATGGTCAAAAGTACTTTAGTCAACTTTTGGTCTGGGGCGTAGACTGTATATAAGAAGTCATCGTGATGTGGACTGATGTTATGAAGCCTCGAGCTCTGCAATTTCACCGTCGCCATATTGTTTTTTTTGCAACCGATGAACTGAAGTTACCATATTTGAAATGTGGTCGAGTGACATAGAGACGCGGTATACGTCTCTGGTAGCGGCAGCGACCTGTCAATCACAGTAGCCCCGCCCCAAAGCATCCCCTGCTTTATGGTCTGTTTGACTCTAAATGGACCATAATGTACTAAATGAACATCATGCTGTATTGAAGAAGACTTGAAACTAGAGATTGAGACCATAAACTCATGTTTACAATGTTTACTGAGGTAATAAATCAAGAGAGAAGTAGAGTCATTTTCTCATAGACTTCTATACAACCAGAGGAGTCACCCCTGCTGGTCACCTCCAGTTCTGCCTCACTCGGCAGAACTGGAGGTTGATGCCTGGTCTGGGGCTGTTTTTCGTAGTTTAATACCTTAGTTCCAATGAAGGGCATAGGATTAGACTAGGAGTTGAACAGACTCACTGAGGTGAGGTTTTACAACAACGACCAAAACAAGTAACGGTAGGGTGCGTAAATGAGTAAAATTAGCAAGTTACCTAGCTAGCTAACTAGCCAGCCTCTCTGCGTTTGCTCTCTTCCCAGCGAGCAGCGACAACACTTTACAGACCCCACTGCTTGTTCACCATAACAACTAACCTCAATCACCATTTTCTTTTGCAGGCCTACTCGTCAAATGACAGCAGGACGTCAACCGTCAATTCCACTCCTATATCTATGTGAATAAATTACAGCCACAGCATGCAGCGATTTATTTTGTGGCAGTTTGGTTAGTGGCCTTCACTGTTTCAACATGACGATGCCTCCACATACAGGTCAATTAAGGAATGGTTTTCCCAGTTCGGTGTGGAAGAACTGGCCTACACAGAGCCTTGACCTCAACCCCACCCAGCACCTTTGGGATTAACTGGAGTGCCAACTGGGAGCAAATCTCTGCAGTGGAATGCATGCTCAGAAAAATGGAGCCTTATTTTAGCAGCAGAGGAATGTGCACGGTTTTGTAAAGATTTGTTCAACAATCACAGGTGTAATGTTACAAGTGTCTGCACTTTGTTTCAGTTACCACATAATAAATACAGTATGTGTAGTACAGTAGCTGATGCTGGAAGCTTTGGGATGTAATGACTTCTTCTGTGTGGGGCAACACAGACACAGATGTCAAGATAGTTTGCAGTCAAAAACTGAGATACAAGAGTCAAAGTTCAACGAGTTGAGCATAAAAAACCCAGCACAGATTTACCTCATTTTGGGGAGTGAATTTATTTATTACATTTCAATAAATTGATTTCCACCAGCTGTTATAATTGCTGGCGTGACTGAGCCGTAAAGTATTAAATCAGATAGAGATTACTTCTAATGCTCTGCATGTCTCTATCTGAGCCACTCAGTTCTGACACCACAAACTCCCCCTGGTTAGAAAAGACAGAATAATAAATAACGATGGGAAACAGAGAGAGATAAGAGTGATAAACCCTGGATTTGCTGCTTCTCCCGGCTCTGATAAAAAAACTCATATTTATGTGGACAGAGAATAAAAAAGCAGCATTAGCTGAAAAATATATCAACTGCTGTCACACGCTGAGGGAAATATTGTACATATTATGAGCTGTTATTATTTGTCACGTTATTATTTTTCCTATTCTTAGTTGACATTTATTGTTTAAACTCTGATCTACTGCCATTTACCTCATTTTGCAACACTGGTTATTACCTGTATAAATAACCTTTGAGAGAAAGATAACAGTGGATGTTTAAATGACAACCTGATAGAGATATTTTGCATCTAAATACATTTCACAGAAACCAGGATAAGCTGACATTTAGCTTGCACTAACTGCAGAAAAAACCCCACAAACCAAACACACAATAGCATATAGAAAGCATAACTAATATTAAAGCTGCAAGCAGCGATGAACGGGCCCTTGCACCTTCCCACGTGTCAGGGAATAATGGCGGTTCATGAGTCATGAAAGAGGTCGGGGTTTAAGTGTAGGGGGTGGGGCTAGGAGTCTATGAAGCATGTACATGTCCAAAGGACTGAACCCTTTGTATGCTCAAGAAACTTGCAGCAGATTGGACAAAGTATGTTGAAGTTACAACAACTTCCTGTTTTATGCCAAATGGCGCTTTTTTTGACGCCACAGAATAAATGTAGCATGAAAATGCGAACTTTTGATACATTGTGATCGCAAAGGTCATTGGATTGTTTTGACCAAATACGAATATGACTAAATCTGTAGGAGGAGTTGGTTAAAGTACAGTGCCTGTAAACGGCTAAAAATGGGCAAAAATGGCACAATAAATTAAAAATCTAAACTTCTTGTTGGTTTTGGGGTTTACTGTCAGGAGGCTTTTTGGTGTGTCTCCACATGTTACAGCTGCCTACTAAATTTCATGCATGTCGATGAAACATCAATGAGGGGCTTCATTTTGCCAACTTTTCCTGAAAAGGCGATTCATCTAAGAATTAAGAATTTATCCAGTTTCTCCAGTCGGGTCCTCGGTGACTGCTGGTCGGTGCTAAGAAAGACTTCATGACAGTCGTCAGAGAAGATGAAATGAGGGAGGAAGAAAAACGAGATGATCGGGGGATGGAGGCAGAGCGGAGGAGAAGAGAAAGACGGACAGCCAATAATTAGAAAGGAGGTGTTTAGGGATTGTGCGTTGACAGCAGAAGAGCCGCCTTAGGCTGAGGCTGAACACAAAGAGGTTCAAACCTGCAGCCTTCAAAACCCACTGACCTCACCTCTGTTTACCACACACACACACACACACACATATTTTTGTCACGTCAGTCGCTCGTCACATGAGTCACTCAGTAGTCATGTTAATCGTTATTCAGTCAAGTTAAACGCCAACCACAATCTTTTCCTGACCCTAACTAAAACGTTTTCCTGTCTGAACCTAACGTCCTGTGAAGACGGGAGTTTATTTTGAAAAGACACTATGCACGTAACGAGCGTATATATTTACACACCGTCCCACACCTACAAAACTGTAAAGCCTGCACCATAAACCCTTCACATTTAAAGACAATACTCTTTCAAAAAAAGCTGTTTCAACATTTAAATGAACATATATAAAACCATGTGCTTGGAGTCAGTCGTGGAGTGAGTTGATGAAGGATTCTGAATGAATCTCCAGAGTGGAGGCATTTGGCAATTTGCTTTGGTAAATCAGGAAGTGACAAATTGAAAAACGCTGCTGATTTCAGCGATTTTCATTATCCAGTGTGCATGAGTTCGATGAAAGTCGGAGGACAGCGACGCACACAGCGGATAATTAAGAGGGAGGCGTTTAGCACTTAATTACACGACGACAGGAGCAGCAGAGCTGAAGGCCTCTCCACTGAAAACACAGCACTGTGTCCAGCTGCTGGTTACTGAGGAAACCCGCCATACATACAGGGTACAACATATGTGCATGTTGGTGTTATCATATCTTATTTACCCATTATATTAAGACACAATACACCTATTACAACGTACAAGAAAGGACAGTGAATAAATACATTCATTCATTACATAACAATAATAAAGGACAAGAGACGAAGGAAACTAAATACGGAGTGAAAGAGAGTAAGAAATGATGGGAGGAGACTAAAAAGACTTGGAGAGAATGAAGGAAGAGAAAGGAAGAGAAAGAAAGGAGATAGCAAGTAGAAAAGCAGGGAAGAGAGGAAAGTAGAAATAAAGATGGCAAGGTGATACAAAAGGAGAGAAAGAAAGTAAGTGAACAAGGAGGGAAGGACAGTGAGAGAAAGAAAGAAAGAAACAATGACTTGAATACAGTTGAAAAGACAGTAAGGAGAATAGCAGCCAAGTCGCCAGGTAAATATGTTATTATAAGTTACGTGGTATAAACCTGGTACTTATTCGAACACAAAGTTTTTTTAACCTTAACCAAGAAGTTTGTTGTCTACACCGTAGCAATCATTTAAGAACGTTAACCCTGTGGCATTGTGCGACAGGTGACAAGAGGCTGATATGGAACGTGTTCATGAAACTCTTTTTAGTTCAGAAACAAAAATGTACAAATCAAAGATTCTTTCTGACAGCTAGTTTAAGAGAAAGACTGCAGTATGAAGGAAGTGAGATAATGATCAGTCTCTCTCAGCTCACAGCTGAAGCTCCAACAACTGAAAGAACTAAATGAGCTCAAACAGCCTTCTGGTCCCTCAGCACAGATTCTCACTGTAAATGTCGAGCTCCTCTTCACAGCTCCTTCTGCTGTGTCTCCTCTACACCTCTACACCTCCTTCTACAGAGTCACAGAGAGACAGCCGGGAGCAGTTTCTAACAAGCAATTGTTTAACAATCGGATAAACACTTCCCTTTGTTATTTCATGGCAACTATTTGGTGAGATTGGTATGTGATTGGGGTCATGAATTCACTTTTATCGTCGATGAATGGCAACGTTGGCATGTCGGCTCGTCCACCACTTTGATTCAGATTGAAATATCTTAACTATTAGATGGATTTCCATGAAATTAATGTTGCTCAGAAGATTAATCCTAATGACTTTGGTGATCCCCTGACTTTTAAAAGTTGTCACTCATGCAGTAACATAGCTAAACGTCTACCAGATGGAGTGGCACAAAGTATTGTGATTTATTTGGTGATCTCCTAACTTTTCCTCGACTGTTTGATAGATTGCCATGAAACAAAGAACAAAGAACAAAAGATCAGTTTGTCCAGTAGTAATACCTGCAGAGCTAATTCCACTCCCGTCAGCTGTATTTTGTGCTAATTAGCGTGCTAACGCTGTAAACTAGATGAACGTGGTCATAACCTGCTCAACATTAGCCTGTTAGCTTTGCCATTACTCACATGTTAGCAGGCTGGTGTTAGCATTTAGCTTAGAGCACCACTGACTCCAGTTTCATTGTATTTTGCCGGTTTGTCTCGGTTGTGAATCAGTGGGGCCACGATGGTGTGTCTCACCTGCACCACTTTCCCCTGCGGGCTTTCAGAGAAGACCAGGACCTGGTTGTAGAGAGGATCCAGAGACTTCCTCACTGACTTGGTCTTCTTCTTGGCCATGCAGCTCCCGTTCTCCAGGAGGTAAACTTTGATGTAGGCCGCTGAAACCACAGCAGACAGAAAGGTTAATTAAAGCTAAACTCAAGCGTCAACCTCTTCAGAATTCTACTACATTACTTGATTTTTGAACATAGCGTTGATGGACAAGTTTGTCCTCCAATGCTTACACAAAAACAATGTTGAATGGGGTGCAGAAGCTTCAGTTATAGCACAGAAAAATAGGAATAAACCGCAAATCACTGGACAAGCATTTTCTTGCTGGTTGTATGATCAACTCTGCCCTCAACAAGTTGTCAGTGACTTTAGAGGTTGAGTGTAACGGGATATGGAACCGGTATGTTTGGTGTTAAGATGATGATGCAGTACAGTAGAAGACAGTAGAAGGCCAGGCGAGGGCCATGTGAGAGACGGAGACGGCCAAATGCATCAGTAAGCTACGTTACGGTATGTTTGCTTGTTTGTCTGCATGGTACTGAAGCAGCACACTACATAAAAAAAAGCTAAATCATTGATTTTGAGACAAACTACCAAACTAAAGTTTACTAAATAAAGACTTGCAGCGAGCACAGAATATGAGAAGAGCACATTTGTCACTAATTGGTTTGTGGGCTACAGTTTTGAAGCTTTGAGTGCTGCATTTTAGTCGTCGACATTTTTTTTTTTGCAGTCAGAAGTGACACGAGAGGGTGGAACCGGAAGCTGAATAAGACAATTTTTCAGGCGACCAAAATGTCAAAAGTAAATTTCATGAACGGAAAACACGCTGTGAAAGGGTCGAAATTGTAGGAAGAAAATTAATTTAATTTAATTTTCACTGAACCACACGACTGTGAAACAACTTTAAAGAAGAACTACATCTTGGCTTTCTAAAATGGAATTTGTATTTATTAATAGTACATTTCACAAACATTTCCACTCTTTTTTGTTTTTCCATTCAGTAAAGTTGTGGATAGTCCCTGCTACTTTTGTTTTTTCAAACCACCTCTGTCGAAGCGAGCTGAGCCGATACTAGAAGGTGAATCGTCACCACATCCTGCACAATCCAATATTTAAACTGCTGCTGCAATTTATTTATTCACGTGACCCAGATGAAAAATCTATATCTGATAACAAGATTAAAGATTTGAAGCGAGGTTGTCCTTGGTATTCATACTATATACGGATTTCCATCCATCGCTGCAGCTCTCTCCTTCACCACATGTCCTTTCATTCACACTAAGTTGCTCTCCACTCGTTTCTCTCTCCTCTGACTCTTGTCTGTGCTTCGCTCTGTTGATTATCCTCTTCTCTTTCATCTCTCTCATGGCTTTTTTTCCCCTCTCAGATTTGTCTTTTGTTTTTTTCTTATTTGCTGACACTGTATTGTTCTCATGCAATTAGGATCAATGGCTGGTTTAGCATTATGCAACCACAGCGGGGGGCTACAATCAGTTAATGGTTTGTTGTTACACAATCCGACTCGCTGCAAAAATGACGGCAGAGTCATGTCGACATCGTGCCGGTCCTGTTTCTCAAAGAGGAAGGTAAAGGTTAACTGGTCTGATTAATGAAGCAGCCGATCGTTGGCTTCGTCAGTCTAGTGCTCGGGTGATTCATTGCCGGGCAGCCGGCTCATATTAGCAGCTCTCTAAGTGCATTTTGATTATGATATATTTCAGGTGAAACGATGCATGAAAGCTGAAAGTGAGCCGTAGTCTACAAGTGCAGAAGATGAGCCACTGAATCACCGTCGCTCGTCTTCATCATCGCTCATCATATTCCTGACATTGTGTGGACGGGTTTGAAGCAGCATTTAGAGAAATTAATAAGTTAAATGAATAAATTAGAGAGATTTCGTTCCTCATTGAACATTTGAGAAGCTGATTTTCTCGTGTGAAACCTGCCTTTCCTGCTAAAACAGTGCTCGTCCTGCCTTCGGTGGTGCACTGCCGTGTTTCTTGCTCAATCAGTGGAATGTTGTGAACTCATCGGCAGGAATGTGCATCCAGTCACTCGCTCGCACGTGTGTCCTTGTCCATGTGCAGTAGAACAAACAACACAGGGACCCACTCATGACCTCTATGGCATGAATAAATGTGGTTATGGCAGAGAAATGTTAGATAAACACTGACCCGTTCATTTCAATATAACAGATGTAACTAAAGAGCTGGGAAATACATTATTATTGTTATTATGAAATAAAAGTCTCCTGGAATCTCTTTAAAAATAAAAATCTACTTATTTAGTCACACATTGACTCATTTAATACATTTATATGTTTATTCCCTCATTTATTTATTTCAGGATTTATTTCATAGAATTATTATTTATTATTAATTTAACATGGAATAAAATGGCGTCACATAGTCCCACATAGTCCCACATAGTCCCACATAGTCCCACAGGGCACAGGAATGAATATAGAAAATGAGGAAATAAGCGTTTGAGACTATTCTGGTGGCTTTTTAAACATCTCTGACGACATGTGTTGGCTACATGGCTTCTTGTTTCAGTCAGACACCAAAGTCAGAGCAACTTGAAATTGTGTTTCTCTGCAGCGTCAGCAGAGGAAAATGTAGATCTGACTTATTTAGCGGATCACCTCCCTCTGCTCATGTGTATCGACTCCCCGAACACTAACAACAACATTTTCTCCTTTTCACTCATGCATCTTTCATATTGTCAGGGACGATGACTGTGTTTTCGGAGGATGTATCCCGTTAGGTTTCAAACGTCCGCTGCAGGCTCTTCTGTTTGTGAGCGGTTGATGCTATTGGCTGTCTAGTGGAGCGTTCATGTTCTGTGGGACCCTGATGTTCTAAGACATGGCAATCGTTTGATGAACAGGAGCCTTTTTAATGATTTGGCTCTGAACATCTGCAGTCATATTTAAACAATCTGTAGCGCACGGTCTAAAGCACATGGTGAGGGGCCTCTGGGACGTGGCCAACTCCACTTGTGCTACTTAAACGACACTTAATCTGGGTGCATAGTGGTTTTATTTAGTCTTTCAATTAATAATAGGTGTGTTCCGGGTGTAACATTATTTTACTTAATCAGGGTGTCATCTCCCATTTCCTTGCTATATAAATGGCAGATTCGGCACATTGGAGAAGCGGTTTTCAGTGAAAATGTAGTTTTTGAAAGTTAACAAATGTGGATTGAAGCAGAATATCTTGTCAGATAAAAACATTTTGAAGATGATTACATCTTTCTTGTTCCAATAAATGTTGAATATTGGGACTTTGCAATGTTCTAGATTTGTTGGGAATGTTTTGATCACACAAGTCAGGAACAATCCTCCGTAGTCACCGATGACACAAAAAGTATACTACTATTAATATTAGTGTAGCTTAATCTATATCTGCAACTGTGCAGAAATAACAAATTCAAAAAAAGTGACATACAACAGCTTGATCGGTCGACAGACCAGCAGCGGACTAGAGTGGTATACCTGGAGGTCCCTTTGAACCTGGTTTCATGGTGAGTCCTCTGGCCTGGACGACCTCCACCTCCAGACCCCCGTTCCTCTCCATGAGACCGATCTCTATGTCACCTGGATGGATGGAAACACAGGTGCACTTTAGCAATGAGGATGGAGGGGGAGCATGTGCCTATCTTTTCAAAATCATTCAAAGTTCTTAAGAAGCTTTTATATCACGACGACGTTTTGTGACGTGTTTGGAGTGTAAAAAATACTACTTCTAACAAACTAACTGGATATCGTGCGGCATTGTTGTTGGTGGGTCGTCAATTCAAAGCGCGAGCGAGTAAACATGCAAACGCATGCACAAGAAATTCCAATAGATGGAAGACACTCGGATAAAGCTGCACCGGATATTTCAGAAAGTTTTTCGGACGTTTTAGAACTTTTTTTTCTGTCTTTCGTTCTGACCCGTTGAAGTCTGTTTGCACGGACCTGCTTACAAGAACCACTTGTACAAACAAATTACAAACTTCTGCATCATCATCATGTTTAGCAAATGTTTAGATGTCAGGATCTTTTATCAGCCGATTCCCAACGGCAGGACTCAAAGTGTCTTCTTTTTACTCTTTAGTGACATATTTGTGAATGAAACAGATCAACATGGTAATCTTATTATGCTCACGACTAAATGTCATGACCTCCTCATGAACAGGTGGTATTCATCAAGCCGGAACAAGCAATCCTTTACGACTTTTGAACTCAAACACAGAAAAAAAGGTAAGAGAGGTTTGGGATAAGAAGGTAAACGTCCATTGGTACAAGAGCCAATCACCAAATCTGAACTAAACCCTTTGCCATGCATATCATTTCAGTGTGTGGACGCATCAATGCATCGAACACAAATGAAGTCTTGTGAAAATAGCTTTCAGCAGACAGTAGAGACCTCTGAGATGGACAGGCAGAGGCCAAATGCAATAACTGCTGACAACGAGACAAGTCATAGATGTCAGAGTATTGTCTAGAGAGCTCAGAGCTCAAAGTTCTTTTTTTTAACTGTTGTATTTTTCATCTCCGTGTTGTGCGGTGAGATGAGCCTCTTGCATTTGCATCCAAAATGATGTCAGAACTTTCCTTAATTCTCGGCCAATAAAGAAGCAAAAAAGGTTTCAGAGAAATAACAAATGCCCCCAAATCACTGAGATGCCGATTTGTACTGGACTTACATTATCAACCACACGACCTCTGTGTTTGGCCGAATATGGTAGGTAATCTGCGGTGGAATTTTTATTTGACAAATGATGAACGTGGTAGAGTCGCACAGGAATAAAAGGCTTGTGTTAAAAAAATGAAGGGATTCTCTCCACAGTCAGATGATGGAGGGCTTTTATTTTTAAATGGAAAAGGAAGTGTTGATTAAAAATACAGACATATGTAGACATTGAAACGGTAGTAATGTTGATGGTATGAGATCATGTCTATTTTTGCTGTGAGCCGCCAAAATAAAAGCATGAGGTTTGGCAACGCACACATGCTGCTCGCCCAGGCAGTGTTGCTCGGGCGTCACATTGAAGTCACACTGGGTGACAGTTTTCATCCCAAATATCCCCGAAATGACGAATGCATTCCCTTGAAAGCGACAGAAGGCAGATGACGACCAAGTTATATTCCAGGTTCTCTGATCTTATATAACGTTGGACCGGACAGCAGGTTTGGAGCGGAGCTGGTCCAGTCAGTGTCACTGTTGCCGGGCCAGGGACACCGACTGGCTGCCAGCGAGGAAACTGACCCACTTACAGCAGATCACAGCTGTGGAGGACGGGCTGCACATGATACATATCTCCAGTATATATATGGTGGCCTGGATATGAAGAAGTCAGCAGCCCGGCCTCCTAAAAAGTACATTCCCATACAACGAAACTGCACTTTGAATTACGTGTTCGAGGGAAACATTTTTTACCCATGACTAGGTTTGTTTTTGACGTATCACAAATAAGTTTCTAATAACAGTCAGCGTAGGAGAGAGGTCAATTGTGGACTGATGGGTCAAACGAACACCAGACTTTCACCCAGGAGACCGCTGTTCTTGTCCGTGCAAAACCAAAAGTCGGGGTTTTATTTAAATTTTCATCAGTAACTTAAATAATGTATCAAACATACTTATTTCAAGCCAAACCATCATCTGTTGTCTGAACCTAACTGAATAGTTCTGTTGCGTTTTTGTTTTTTGTTTCGATGAACAAAGTTTACCGTGTGTAAAACTGTGGCCGTAATCCGGGAGGAAATAAGTTTCCCTCAAAACGTTATTGAGTTTAGTTGTATGGAAACGTAAATCTGTAGGAGACGGGGTTGTTTGAGAATAGGCTGGATAAGATACAAATGTCCATATATTTGGCCTGGATATGAATAAACAACGATGAGAACAACAGCTCTGATTTATGAGGCACTATTTTGCCAATGTGAAATGATTTCAGTCGTTTGGTTCAGTTTTATGAGGAGATGAGCTGTTTTTATGGCGAGAGTTTCAGAGGCGTTTTACAAAATAGACGTGATAGTTGTGACCCTCAAATCTGAATCATTTTTCTCAACTTGGAGATAAGAAAGTAAAGAGGGATGGATTAAGGTTTTAGTCTTGCTTTATCTGAGAGGCTCCTGCGGAAATGAAAGCTTTGCTGAATGGTTAAGGACAAAGAAACGTCCTCTCTCTCACCCATCGACGTCGTCGCCAGCGTCTGTCGCCCAACGAACTGAGCGGGTCCCATCCCGTCCAGGAAGTCACTGAACTGTGCGTCCGATGCCAGACACATGCCGCTGTAGTTCAGGCTGCAGAGAGAGAGTGAAAGGGCCGGTTAAAGTCATGGCCAGGCACTCCAATCAGAGAAGGTGAGTCAGAGAAGGTGAGTCAGAGAAGGTGAGTCAGAGACTGGGAGATAAAGAAAGCATGAAAGACAAAGCCAAGACAAAAAAAAACAGTCTGGAGGAAAAAAAAATACAAATACAGGAAGCGATCAGTTCTGTTATTAAACTCCCAACTCTCAAATTGGCTCCCTGAAATTACCCTTTTAAACTCTAAATTAGGCTTTAGAGTTTGACCCCCCTGTGTCCTTACGTTGTGTGTGTATGCAAAGGAATCAGCTCAGAGTGCTTCAGTGGCAGAGCGCCAGGTATACTTCAACTGTGTGTGTGTGTGTGTGTGTGTGTGTGTGTGTGTGCAATGGAAAGACAAATATGCCTCTAACATGTTCTGATGCTGATGCATATCATCATTCTGTGTTTGCTCCACATGCGTCTGAACCCGGATGGCAGGATACCAGGACCAGATTACTGTTTACATTCAGAGCGTTGCTTCCTGAGATCTAGAGGTCCACCCACACGGGTGTGCCCACTTACTGTGGCTCGTCAAAGCTCCTCTCAGGATGTGTGTCTATGATTGATTGATTGGCACTTCTCTGATTAGCCTTTGAGCAAAAATAACCTTTTTTTAACATTTTGACTTGTCACAGTAGGAAAAGCACAGGTTTAAATAATGAAATAATGAAGGCTGAATACCATTTAGCTGCTTTCATTACAAGTTTCTGTTTTTTTTTCCGGCGAAGCTGCTACAGAAGTTGTCAACTCTACTGTTTTGAGTTTTGTCCGCACCTCTAAAAATGAACGGCTAACACGCGGGTCCTGGACCTGTGCTGGTCGACTGCCACGAATGAGGAAGTTTCTTTTAGAAGTGCAAAAACCAATGCCAATTCATTATGTTTAGGTTTGGCCCCGGGCCTCTGGAGTCCAAAAGGATAATCAACCGAAGTGTTCTCCGTTGCTGAGGCTGCCTGGTTGTTGTGGCCCCTGATCCAGAACAGGGTTTAGTCCGTCACGAGACAGGAACCAAAGTCTCTTGAATGAACTATCGTGATTTATTGTTAATTTTGCGATCCAGCTCGCTGAGCGGAAGGTTGTGACTGGTGATGTTTGGGTTTCCCAGCTAAAGAGCTAACCAACAAGCCCCACATGTTTCTACGTGGGCATGAGGACATACAGGCAGATATGCAGAAAGCACGTGCAGCATATAGCACCATGCTTATATTAGCCTTGAAACTCTGCAAGAAAGAAACCTAAGTCCTGAATAACTTGTGCACTGAGTAGTGAAAGTTCACTACTCAACTGTTTTCTGGGGGAAAGTGTCTGTACTTCAGCGCCGTTGATGCGGTTCGTGGTGCAAAGCTTCTGGAGTCGATGCCGAGCATGCTGAAGACGCTCAAACTCTTTACTCCAAAGTTCGGGTTTGATTGAAAAATGTTGTCTTTCAAAGAGCTTGTTGGTGAATCAGAGAATTGTCTTTTATACCAAATAGTTTGAGTGATTGTGTCCGTATCGCCGGTGTTACCTAATCTTGTGCACTGAATTGTTTTTTGTCTCTCAGAATAGTTCAGTGTAACTGCAGCTCGCTGCTTCATTGATCTGAAATGTTGAAGTTGCTACAAACAACTTTTTATTCTCATTACGATCTCTCAGGAAAAGTGTTGACATTTTCACAACTGTTACTTGGCGATGCGATGGTTTTATTCTTATTACATGTATAGTGCGTAAACATACAGATTAGCCTAGATTTCACAAAGTACCGATTTATTGTTCCCGCCCCCAGAAAAGCGATGCCCCTCCTCCCCAACAATCCTGCGGCCTGTTCTTCTGCGTCCATGTTGAAACTCTGGACCAGGACTATTGAACTCCCATAATTAGACTCTGGTGAGTATGTTTATTATTTCTTATGGCAGCTCTGTAATTCTTTCCTTCCTTTTCTTCCTCTCCATCTCTTTAACCTTCATTCTACTTTACAATCTCTGTTCATCTCCGCTCCAATGAGAGTGCTTCAGCCGTGCATGTGAGGAGACAGGTGTATTATATTTTACAGCGCGAGTCTCTCCACAAGGACTGCGACCTAAATCACCAAACAGCTTTTCTTTGTCGTCGTTTTGAATTACGTGTAGGAAAAAAAGTGTTAAAATATTTACTAGATTGTTGCAACAAAGGCACACAAAGGCTCACATTAAATACCGACTTCAGACCGAGAGGCCAAACACGGCAGTCGTCGCAATATAATTTACAAGGCAGTCTGTCCTCGATAAGATTAACACGCAGAACCACTTAGCCTAGATTAGTCATTAATGCAGACGTGAGCGAACATTAAATTATTGCAGGTCTTCTTTAATATTTAACGTTAATGAAATCTCATTAGTTTTCCTTTAGTTTGTGCTGCTGTGTGTTATTTATGTCAATGCATGTTTATGACTCTTCACAGTTCCTGCAATATGTAAATTATTAAATCAAGATATTAGGGAGAAATTCTACTGTGGTGTAATCCAGTGTGTATGTGTGTGTGTGTGTGTGTGTGTGTGTGTGTGTGTGTGTGTGTGTGTGTGTGTGTGTGTGTGTGTGTGTGCTGACATGCAATAAGTGGAGCAACATTAGCCGAGTGGGTATTACTTGGTGATAAAATCCTGAGCTGTAGATTATTCTGGTGTGTGTGAGGCACATCTGGGGGATTACACGGCGGCTTCACAGAAATGTGGCGCTCAGCGTGAAACCGCGTGCTGTTACTAACTCCACGGTCCTGTATTATTCGGCACTTATGTTTTGTCAAAACCTGAAAAAAATGAATGAACGCTTCTTTCGTGCGGTCCTCGTCAACATGAACTGGACCAATAAGAACACATGTCAACTTAGTTCAGGTTGTTTGAGTTCAACAGCCAAAGCAAGAGAACCTAAAGTCTCTGCTTGTTTTTCGTTATAGTTGGTCCATTGTACCTTAATAACAGGACTTACTAGTACTGTACTCTGCAACAACTTTATCTTTTTTGCACCATAAACATGCAACATAAACACCTGTTTATGTTTTAAAACAACAACACAGAAACAAATAGATTTGTATTAAAAAAGGGAGTGCCGACCAGATCGTCTCCTCCAGTTCTTTCACAATAAAAGCCCTAGACATTTAATATTCGCATTTCCCATTTGTGTGCTGCATATTCTTTATGCTCCCGTTGTGTAAGGGCCTTTAAAAGTACTTTAAGTGCCTGAACATGAGCATGAAACCATAAATCGAGCTTTAGTTGCCATATTACCAGGGCTAACAAATAACATACAGTGAAGCTTTTCCGGATAAATGACTCATTAAATCGACATTCATCAGCATTGTGTCTCCTTTAAAGCATATTTGTCCTCGTGAACAAGTAATCTATAAATGTTGCAATGTTCCCATAAACTCCAGAGTGCTGCACATCACACAACAGTTGCACTTTACCTGCGGGTCTTAGCCAAGAGTTAGCTTCCACGAGGAAAGGGTGGAATTTAAAAGAAGTAAATTCCACTTGAACAACTTAAAACTAATAAAAGGTCAACAGTGTCGTTTCTGCCCATGTGCTCACAGTATATGGTCACATGAGCTGGATAAAGGTGGTGTGTAATGAAATATTCTCATTGTCCTTACACACACACACACACACACACACACACATTTGCCTGGATCCGAATTGCCCGGACCATGGATCAATAAGCTTATAAGTGTGATTGGATGGCGTTAGCTAACAAAGTGCTTATTCATGGCGGTGCATTCACAGGCACAGCAGCTTTTTCAATCAGCGGACCGACGGAGAACACAGGCGGACTGGAAGACGAGCGGCGGTTCTCTGCTGCCGATTTAAATAACGTTGCGGTGCGGCTCAGTTTAACGACTGTAGTTTCCCCTCGATGCAGTCGTGCTCGTAGCTTAGAGCGCATAAAGAGATTTACATGTTTTATCACTCAGCTCCTCTTGTTTGGCAGAATCAAGAGATCATAAAAAACGATGATGTAACGGCGGCATTATTCAGACAGTTTCTAACTTTTGAATTTAGCCAGAGAAGATCGGCTTTGGTTGAGGCCACGGCCGCGATGCTTCCCGGCAAAACCGAAATGGTTTAAGAAAAACTACTTCCCTGTAGTTTTCATCCATCCATCCATAATCTATAAGCGCTTATCTTGTGCAGGGTCGCAGGGAATTGAGGGAAAGTTCAGCTGCTAGAGAAAGGAGAGCGGCTACACGCTTGATGTTAAAGTTTACGCTTTTGGACACAAATTATTGAGAAGGAAATATAGAATTCACCTCCTCAATGACGAGAGCGTTTCTGTTGATATTGTTGCCTCGAGTCTCCTCCATGAAATTGCTTCTTGCGCACTGACTGAATTCCTTGTATTTCTTGGGATCAAGTTCAGCTTCAAGTTCAGATAACAATAATTAATCATGTTATAATTCTATTACATCTCCTTTTGTTCACACTGTCACTTACAACTCAATGTATTGTCTGTGTGGATGGTTTAGGCTATACAAATGTACTTTTTCAGTAATTAATCAAGATATTTCCCCAATGTTATAACATCTTCTGGTTTCTATAAGCGGATATTGTCGGACAACAAATGAAATGTGTCGTCAGTGAACATTTTGCTGAAACATTCAGTATCAATAATTTGTGACTTGCCAGAGGACATTTCTTCATTATGTTAATAGAAAACATAATCCGGGCATTAGCTCGTGTTTGTTTCTGGTTTAGCCAACTGGGACGAGGAGGAAGACGAGGAGGAAGACGAGGAGGAAGACGAGTAAACGCGGCGTTGTTTGAACCAAAACAGGCTCAGTGTGAAAACACAGATTCTCTCTCTCTGTTTGATATTTCTTCATTATTTCTCTGAGTTTGTTTTAAGAACATTAATATTGTGAAAATGATCCTGACTGATTGAGGCACTGGCGTGGAATCTTTCACAGTGAACAACCGAGTGGTGACTGAGACCTGAAGCTACTGTGAGGAACTTTGAACTGTTTCTGAATCCGTCTCAGTTTCACTCTGATCCTCTATATGACCGACACAAGTACACGAGACCGTCAGTCTACTTTTAGTCAATTTGCATCCTTTTGTGATCGTTTTGCATCTGTTTTTTTGGTAATTTTGTTTTTTCTTATAGTAGTTTTGAGAGTATTTTTTTTACTTTTGGTAATTTTGTGCTTATTTTACTCTATTTCTAGTTATTTTGCATCTGTTTGTTGTGGTTTTTCATCTCTTTTCAGTTGTTTTACGTGTCTTTGTGATTGTTTTTTTATGTATTTCTAGTCATTGTACGTATCTTTTTAGTAACGTTGTGTCTCTTTGTGTCTACACAGTCTTTGTGTGTATGTGTTTGGTTGCTCCAGTCTATTTTCTGTAATATAGCATCTTGTTGTGGTCGTTTTGCATCCCTGTAGTCGTTGTGTGTGTCTTTGTGATAGTTTTATGGTTGTTTTTTATTTCAGTGACATTTTATAAATAAGCCCCCTGACCCCCTAACCCCCTGAGTCCCGAGGCCTTTCCCCGGTGGGCCTGTTCAGTAATCCATTTATGAGCAGGGCAGACTGCTGGAAGCTGCTGCAGCACAAAGAGAGGTTTTCTGCACTCTGGTGCTCGGAAACACAACTGCTATTGTCCACAGGTGCCGCCAAAATCAACACAGAATGAAAGTTCCTCAGAGCTTTAGACTGTCTATAGAGTTTCTATTACAGAATGGAGCAGAGAGCGTCGTCATATGTCAGCTAACATATTCCTTCCTGTTTCATCTGGGACGCAAGCTTAACAACGTTTCCATGCAGCAGCTCATAAACAGAATATTTACATATTCCAAATATAAATGGATTATTAATATGCAAACGCATGATGCAATCATCCTCTCTCTGAACCGCTACCTCATCTTGTTTTCGTCGCTCCTCTGTGTGTCTTTAAACCCTCCCAGCTCCAATCTGTCTGCCTCCTCTCGTTACGTAACTGCAGGAATTCAAGCTGGTAGCCAGGTTGGCACTGTGTGCGTGTGTGTGTGTGTGTGTTCAGTAGTAGTACACTAGTATTGCTGATGTCACAGGCACTTTTCCACTGAGCTCTACTGTACACTGTCGCTCTCTGTGTGTGGCATCCACCCCTGCTGACTGTTTCTGTCTGACAGATGATTGAAACACACAAGCAGGAGACATTTACGGAGGAAAAGAAAATGGATTTCCGGGTGCAAAGTCTAAGAAAAATAACTTGTTCTTAAATGAACGAGACATGCTTCAGACACACAGACAGAGAAGATAGCTACTAGGAGGGAAAACAATGCCGGACAAACATAAAGAAGAGGACATAGAAAGCAGAGTGTGTGTACCTCAGTCAGAATATGCATGAACTGTTGCATGAACTGTTGTATGAACTGTTGTATGAACTGTTGCATGAACTGTTGCATGAACTGTTGTATGAACTGTTGTATGAACTGTTGCATGAACTGTTGCATGAACTGTTGCATGAATTGTTGTATGAACTGTTGCATGAACTGTTGCATGAACTGTTGCATGAACTGTTGCATGAACTGTTGTATGAACTGTTGCATGAACTGTTGCATGAACTGTTGCATGAACTTTTGCATGAACTGTTGCATGAACTGTTGCATGAACTGTTGCATGAACTTTTGCATGAACTGTTGCAAGAACTGATGCATGAACTGTTGTATGAACTGTTGTATAAACTGTTGCATGAACTGTTGCATGAACTGTTGCATGAACTGCTGCATGAACTGCCTCGATGTTGGGCTGGTTTGTTTGAGCCAACCATCCATCCCGACATCTTCCCGACGCAGACTTCATTGGACTATGATTAAAAATGTGTTTGCGATGCGTCAAAAACAAACCGAATCTGGTAGAAAATGTTTCCCCCGAGATGTAATTGAAAATGTTCTGTTGAATGGGAATGTAATCTTTAGGACACCAGGCTGCCCCTTGTTCTCTTTCTTTCTCAATATTATCAGCTCTCCAATAAGAGGCAAAAGTCACCAAAAATAATGAATCAAAATGTGTTGGATCTGGCTTCTAGTCAGACTCAGGGTCGTGTCGTCACAGGATGAGTTACTTACTTTCCCTCGGAGCCGTAGCTGTTCATGCTGTCCTCTATCGACTCGTGGCTCGCCTGCCGGACGGTCCGACTGGGCATCTCTACAGCCAGACCCGTCTCCGTGCTCCTCTGGATGCCTCCCTTCAACTTCCTGCCCTCCGTGTCCACTGCAGGGAAACAGACGGACACGCACACAAACACATTCAGCTGTTGCTTTTTACCCAGCAAATAAAATAAAAACTCTTTCAAAAATATTGAAAGGAATCTCCAGGTTTGTGTATAAACTGTTTATTCAAAGCTTTTTATGTGTTTTTGTCCCGCTGTGACCTCAGAAAAAGGACGACCACAGTGATGAGGAATCATTAGAACAAGAACAAGGACAAGAGCACCCGTTTCCTCCTCAGAGTGGAGACATACATCTTGTTGCAAAATTGACCACAAAATCAATGTGCGGCACATTTAATGAGACCTTTGTCTGGCTGCAAGGTGTCCTGTGTGAGTGTGTGCGTTTGCGATCCTGCATTACAACGGATCAAATCCAGACGATGTTGTACTCTCTCTTTGTCCGCAGACAGTTTCAATCACCTTAATGGAAAGAAAAATGCTTTAAGAAGTCAGTTACACACACACACACACACACACACACACCAGCTGCACAGTGGCATGAAGATAGTTCTGCAGTTATTAAAGGGCGACCTAGAACGGTGCTATTTCTATCGTTCACGTGGGACGTTGGCACATTTGGGTTACTGCTCCTGCTTCTTCACTGGTTCCATATTATCTCCAGTGTGGAACAGCAGCAGCGCTGTCATACGTCTACACGACTGTCCAGCCCAGCATCATGGCAGTTTGCAGACTAGTACCGAAATGCAATCTATTGGTTGGTGTACAGGACACAAATAGTCTTTCTTTTTCGTGTTTTCTTTCTTCCTGAGGACGAAAATAATGCCAACGGAAAGTCAATTAGGAGCCTTATTTGTGGTGGAAACACAAATTAAATGCATCTATGTGATGAAGCAACAGTCAGAGTGACGTAGTATTTAATATCCAAGAAGACTATTGGTGGACGGGAGGGAAGGTGGACGGTTCCAACAAACAGGACTGGTATTCAACACCGCGCTGTGGTTTTATGGTGCTTTTCTCCAGACTGTTCATCACTGTTCGTGGTTTATTGCCAAAACCCAACTGTTGGTTTTGTTGCCTAAACCATGATTTCGTTCCAAAACCTAACTTTCATTTTTAACATTATGTCGTCCCAAAGAAAGTCGTTCCGAGCAACACGAAAAACACGGACAATTCTTGTCCCTGCACACAAAAGCAATTGATTGCATTTCATGACTACTTCCCGCACTGCCGTGAGACTGTGTTGTAGCTTCACGTGTACGCAGTACACACCAGCATTGACCGTTTTCATTTACCTGACGCTGTCATTCAGATAGATTTACGCTGAGCTTTAGAGTGACATAAGCCTAAAACTCTGCAGATTACAAGCAATACAAAATTGGGGCAGGATGCACTTTTAATGCTTGTGAGAGCCAGTGAGCAACCTGGACAGCCACAGGAAAAGGTTTAGTTGAAAAACAAAAGTCCAAATCTGCTTTACTCATCAGCATCAACAGTCAAAGGTCTGCACAAAGTCAGACTTCTCATGAAACATGACATTTGTCTGTAACACTCAGCCAAGCCACAGAAACACACAGATGTATTTTGTGTTTGCAACGGGGACACAAATGAAACTGGTGGATGCTTCAGACCTTAAAGCTCTCTGTGAGCTCCCTCACACTGGAAGACAGATGAACAGACTGACGGGCTTCAGTCTGTGGGCGACTCTGAACGTCTGCACAATTACCACACCGAGGCTCAGACACGTCAACTTTCTTTGACTGTCAAAAAGAGAAGATAGGCTCTTGATGGTGACACAAATATAATCGCTATTAACTGCTGCTGTGCACCTAACATGCAGAGGGGGTGACAGATAAGATAAGACTCACTTTATATGGATAATGAAAATGAATATTCCACTAATATTCCCCGTTTACATGCAGCTGTATGTACTTCGATTAACGTAAAACGCCAATGATGTGTATCCTACGGCTAGGATAATAATAATAATAATAATAATAGTAATAATATGAAGTTTTGACTCATTGAACCATTCATCCATCATTCCTTCAACCACACGTCCGCAAAAGGTCACCGTTGCGTCCTCAAAAGGTCACCGTTGCCATATTTGCACATATCCAAAAACCTGTAGCTATTCAAGTATTTCACAATGTTTAACAGTAGACGTGTTCCTCCTCTAAATCCTCCATGATTTCTACCCGAGCCATGCAAACTACATCTCACAGAGTGTGTCACAAACTGCAGTAAAAACCCAACTGAGATGACTGCGCTGTGTACAACTTCACAAGACATCCGGAAAAATATCGAAATATCACAAATGTCACAAACCTTGCGTTGAGAGCCATTTTACACAGAGGCATGTTATTTTCCGCAACAGCTTGTGTGTGTGTGTGTGTGTGTGTGTGTGTGTGTGTGTGTGTGTAACCTGCTGTCACCTCTTGTCACTGGTGGCGTATTGAGGCGGAGTGGAGTTACGTAACTAATGGAGCAAGTGGATAATGGCTGCAGACACATGAGCCACTCTGCTTCTCAGCGACCCTTTCATGGCGCTGAGTGGATATTATCTCAGTTCAGTTCAATCCGATTCAACATGCTTCTTCTGCAGCAGTGAAAGGCAATCTCAGCAGGCAATCAGGATAAAAGATTAAAATGCAGAAGGTTGACACTTTCTCTTATTCACAACATTTCTAACGTGATTCACTTTCCACGTATGAGACCTGCGATGCTTTCTTCTTCTTCTCTGCCTGTGTGCATCTTTGCATCTCGTTCTATCAGCATCTCGTACTCATCGTTCTGCCGGTCGGTCGTTTATAAAAAGTGTGAGAAAGCTCAGCTGCTCGTGTACCCTTTTGGGACACGACTCACTGTTGCAGCGTATGAACTATTCTTCAGGCAGATAGAACAGATGTTAGCCCTCAGACACAGAACTGTTTTCTAACTTTAATGACTAATTCAGGTTTGGAGACTCAAAAAACGTTGCAGCCCAAGGCCGTCTTAAAAATGTTCTTATTCAACATATCCTCTTGCGATGGTTTTAGAAAATGGTAATTCTTATTTTTTTGTCCAGCAACACCAACGATCAGTGGGCCTACAAAACCCACTCTTTAGGCAACACAACCATTGGTTAGGTTAAGAAACAGGTTGTGGTTTGGGTTATGAGTAGCCTTTATTTGGTGATATAATTATGGTTAAGTGACTTACATAGGTTGCGACAGTTAAAGGGACAGTTCCCCAAAATTGAAAATACAAATGTTCCCTCGTACTAAAGCAGCAACCTCCGGTTCTGCTGAGTGAAGCCAATGTGGAAGCTGCGTTCTCTCTAGTGTCCACCAGGGGGGCGACTCCTCTGGTTGTATAGAAGTCTATGAGAAAATGACTCTACTTCTCTCTTGATTTATTACCTCAGTAAACATTGTAAACATGAGTTTATGGTCTCAATCTCTAGTTTCAAGTCTTCTTCAATACAGCATGATGTTCATTTAGTACATTATGGTCCATTTAGAGTCAAACAGACCATAAAGCAGGGGATGCTTTAGGGCGGGCTTACTGTGATTGACAGGTCTCTGCCGCTACCAGAGACGTATACGGTGTCTCTACGTCACTCCTCATTCCAAATATGGACACTTCCATTTATTGGTTGCGAAAAAACAACATGACGACGGCGGTAAGCTAAGAATAGGTGACGTCATGATCACTACGTCTACTTCTTATATACAGTCGATGCTCGTAGCATGTTGTCATGATTTCTGGAAAAACACATTGCTGTTGGGTTTTTCAAATGTTTTATTTTGGCGCTTCAAGCACCACAAGCCGAGTGCCAAATAGTTTTGATGTTGGACATCCAGATTGATAAATAGTATGTAAAAATATGTAGTTTTGATTTTGGGGTGAATTGTGTTTAGAACCATTTATTACATCATAGTGAATTTATTTTTGTAATCACAGCATCTTAAAACTATTATGATAACGTAATGATTTCTATGATTGTAGAAACATTAGACGATCCCCTTGAGAGCAGTCTGCAGCAGCTCCAGGTAAAGACACTGAAACACACATTGCTTAAGTGTTTAAGAAGACAGATGTGAGGACAGCCAGCATCTGCTTGGAAAGCCAAGCCGGACCACTTTACCCCTCTGTGACCAGCTGTTGTTGTTTATCTTGCTTCCAGATGTTTGGGATCTTAAATCTGGCCAAGTCATACACAAAAACCTGGTCGCTCAGTGTGTCAGCAAGGGATCGTTAAGTATGCTTGACCTGATTTCTCTCCTTCCTTTCAACACACCCACAAGTTCTCTCAGTGTCCTCTGAAGATCAAATATGTGCAAAGACTTATTGCATTCCTTCCTATACTGTTGTTAAACGTGTAAATATGAGCGTGTGCACTGAAGAAAGTGAAATCCCACTCGACTCTAAAATAGCCCACTCTGTTAGTGGCGAATGTGGGGTTCACAGCGTGTGATGTGGAGCACCCACTGTGATGTAGCACAAAAAAGTGTCTGACGTGACGCATAGAAGTTGTGATGAAGCGATCAGAGAGCCAGGACTCATTAGTTCGTCTCCCAGCAGAGAGATATTAATGAACGCAGAGCGGACACTAAAATAGCTGCTCCCCATTCAGCCAACCGATCCGGCCAACGGACAGAAAGAGACAGAAAAGGTTTGTCACACTTTCTGGCCTACATGATGATAAAACACAGATACAGCCTGTACTTCTACAGTACAGAACATGTTCTACCAGCGTAGCCACTCATGTCCCCTGAGAATGTAAGCTAAATGTCTACAAACAGTGTCAAACCAAATGTCAACGTTGATTTATTATAAAATAAGAAAGATACTTAAGGATCTATTGGAAGTCACTGAAACTTCTACAAGACAAGAATGCTTTTACGTTGTTTTCTTCACTTGATAGATTTAAGTTCATTTGAGATCGCTCTGCTTTTGTAGTTGTGTATAATTTATTTTTGCAATTTAAAATTGTTTCATAGTTTACACAGTAAAAACTATTTTTTGCTCTGGGCTCTGCTCCTGTAGAAAAGACAAGATG